CTTTTAGTGGTTTCACACTGAAACTCTGCAGACGACCAAAATTCTTAAAGAATACAATTATTTTTATTAATTTAATGTAAACAAAACTCGTGTTCAGACTCAAATCAAACCAGGGAATTATCACTGAAACAACAATCTGTAAGTTTACGTGTTTTTTCACGTTTAATTTACAGATTTTTTCTGTATTTTTTAAATACATGGAAATCTTAATACAATTTAAAAAATAGTGTAATAATATATTAAACTGTTAAATTCAAATTTAATACTGTTAATAATTTCTATCATTATATAAAATCAGTGACATTAACAGTAAAAGTATTAGTTGTGTAATTTTAATGTATTAGTTAGTTAACTGACAGATATGTTGTATAATGATGGAAGTAGAATAAATGTTGTTTATCAGTGTATAAGGTAAACTGTCCAAATACAGTTGTTATCAGTGTAAACAGCAATAATTACTGTAATCTCACAGATAATGACTTTTATTACACTTCTATAACTTTTAACATTCACATTAAAATAATAACAATCCAATAATAACAGCACTCTGCTGGAAATGTAAGTCTGATTATTGTATTATAGCAGAGTTCACCTGGATTTATAGATCATTGTTTACACTGTAAATATCTTTATTAAACATTAAAAAAAACATTTGACAAAAGATGTAATGTAAAATGAAAGCTGAAAACTGTATTTAAATTACAGAAAACTGCTGTATTGTTATGTGTCTGAATATTAGCGAGGGGTTTTCAGAAACATGAATGTAACATAAAGCTGTGTTATTGTCCAGAAACACGTCAGTGAGCCTCAGACGTGGACGGATGCATTAACTGTAATCAGCTCTTAAATACAGGAAGTGGCCAATCAGACGGTACCGAGCGCCGCCACATCAGGGTTGTCTTTGTTACTGAAATGGTGCATTCAGGGTCCCGTTCTTTGTACGTGGGACTCCAAGTTCTCCAGATTTGAATTTTGTCCATCAACTAATCTGGAACATCATTAGGTTCACTTCCAGAACTTTATTGTGAAACTTCTGAAGTCTTTAATGGAGTCAGACTTTATTTATATTTATAGTTTGAATAAAGAGCGTTGGATTCTCCGAACGCGTCTTTATAAAGAACGTACAGACGTAACGGCTCCTTCACACTAAAATATCTTCTAATCCTACAAACAGCTGCCGACACAGCTGGAGCACAGCCTTTAGTCCGCGTTAAAGTTCATGTGCCGACGGTCTTTTACACTCAAACTTGTAACCGTGAAGTTTATTGAAAGTTAGAAAATTAAATTTGTACACTCAAGACCATCTTCAAAATGTGGTTGTCTTGTCAACATAGATTAGCTTAGCATGTAGCATATCTAAGTACAGGAAAGTTGGAATTAAGCGTGTGTGTGTGTGTGTGTGTGTGTGTGTTACTGTGTGCGTGTGTGTGTGTGTGTGTGTGTGTGTGTGAGTGAGCCTGTGTGTGTGTGTGTGTTACTGTGTGAGTCTGTGTCTGTGTGTGTGTGTGTGTGTGTGTGTTACTGTGTGGGGTGTGTGTGTGTGTGTGTGTGTGTTACTGTGTGTGTGTGTGTGTGTGTGTGTGTGTGTGTGTGAGTGAGTCTGTGTGTGTGTGTGTTACTGTGTGAGTCTGTGTCGTGTGTGTGTGTGTGTTACTGTGTGTGTGTGTGTGTTACTGTGTGTGTGTGTGTGTGTGTGTGTGTGTGTGTGAGTCTGTGTCTGTGTGTGTGTGTGTGTGTGTGTGTGTGTGTGTGTGTGTGTGTGTGGGTGTGTGTCTGTGTGTGTGTGTGTGTGTGTGTGTGTGTGTGTGTGTGTGTGTGTGTGTGTGTGTGTGTGTGTGTGTGTGTGTGTGTGTGTGTGTGTGTGTGTGTGTGTGTGTGTGTGTGTGTGTGTGTCTGTGTGTGTGTGTGTGAGTCTGTGTGTGTGTGTCTGTGTGTGTTACTGTGTGTGTGTGTGTTACTGTGTGTATCTGTGTGTGTTACTGTGTGTGTGTGTGTATCTGTGTGTGTCTGTGTGTGTTACTGTGTGTGTGTGTGTGTGTGTGTGTGTGAGCAGGTCTGTACCTGTCACCTGCAGACACATCCTCACTCAAAGACTCGTAACGTTAGGTAGCAGCACATCTGTCCCAGCTGGACTTCCACTGGCAGGAAACTGTTTCCCATACAGCGACAGGAGAGAGGAAATTGTTTTGTTTCAGAGGAGATTTATGAATTATTAATGAAGTGATGTATTTGAACAAACAGCAGGTTCACATCATTTACAGCCTGTTTCCTACAGAATGCAGTTCAATATGTTTGCTCTCTCTCTGCAGCAGTTTGTGCTCCAGACGTTCAATCAGATCAGGATGGAACCGTTTCCTGTTTCTGAAACTCTGTTTGTGGACGTTTCAGACCAAAATCAGTGTTTTTATAGTGTGTTAGTGACCGACTGAGGGTTTAATGTCTCAGTGTGTGTGAGCAGACAGTGAACGGGTTGTAGTGGAGCTTTGTCCCTCTGCTGTCTGTGGACTGATCTCTATGTGTCTCTATGTAGGATGAGGGTCAAAGGTTGTGACCTTTATGCTCCCGAGTGCCAACAGTGGGCAACACAGAGTCCAACACAGAGTCCACAACACAGAGGCCACAACACAGAGTCCACAACACAGAGTCCACAACACAGAGTCCAACACAGAGTCCAACAGAGTCCACAACACAGAGTCCAACACAGAGTCCACAACACAGAGTCCACAACACAGAGTCCAACACAGAGTCCACAACACAGAGTCCAACACAGAGTCCAACAGAGTCCAACACAGAGTCCAACACAGAGTCCACAACACAGAGTCCACAACACAGAGTCCACAACACAGAGTCCAACACAGAGTCCACAACACAGAGTCCACAACACAGAGTCCACAACACAGAGTCCAACACAGAGTCCACACAGAGTCCACAACACAGAGTCCAACACAGAGTCCACAACACAGAGTCCAACACAGAGTCCACAACACAGAGTCCAACACAGAGTCCAACAGAGTCCACAACACAGAGTCCACAACACAGAGTCCAACACAGAGTCCACAACACAGAGTCCAACACAGAGTCCACAACACAGAGTCCACAACACAGAGTCCACAACACAGAGTCCAACACAGAGTCCACAACACAGAGTCCAACACAGAGTCCAACACAGAGTCAACAACACAGAGTCCAACACACAGAGTCCACAACACAGAGTCCACAGTCAAAGCTAACATTAATGCTAAGCTAGTGGAACATACTGTCTGATTGTGCTGTTAGCTGGATAACATTAGCCTCCATTTGCACTGTGTACTGTAGCTACTGTTAATTTTATATATTACATATATATATATATAATACTTCATATTTAACTTTTATTTTGTTTTTAATTCTATTCTTAAGGTTAGGGTTTTTAATTTTAGTTTAATGTACGTTTTGTATTTTGTATGCTACTGGATACTTGAATTTCCCTCGGGATAAATAAAGTATCTATCTATCTGATTGCTAAATTACTGTCAGCTAGCTTAATGAAGATTAAGGTTACTTTGTTGGCCCAACATTACTATCTGCGTGGATACGTTAGTTAACGTACGTAGAAACATGTGAAGGGGGTCCAGGATCATCCAGGATGAGGACTACCACAGTGGATGTGAATACTTCCAGCAGACTCTTGTATTCAGAGAGTGTCCACAGAGCTGATTGTCCTTGAACACCACACGCTGTGCGACTGCAGATTACAGCTCACAGGTTGGATTCTCTCTGGAATAAAGCAGCGAGTGCGTGTTTATGGCCGTGAGAGGAAGGAAGTGATGAAGAGGAGAAACAGATGAAGGGATTTTCTGGACTTTGACGAGAGGAAGAGGAGATCTGCATGAACGAGTGAATCTGACAGACAATAAAAACCTGCTGTTCCCTCTCGTCCGGCTCAGGTTTCTGTTTCCATTCTGCTGTGTGTGTTAATCCACCTCTCTGAAGCCTCTTCACCCAATCAGTGGAGGTTAATCAGCTAATCAGCAGATGTATTGATCAGTCTGAGTGAGGTGGTGACGGCTGTATCATTGGCTCCACCTGCAGAGTGCTCAGATTGTGTTCACTGTTATTACTGCTGCTGTAAAGCTTCATTATTAGAAGGTAGGTCAGCTCAGTTTATGGGAATTATTAAGGTTCAAATCCCCTCTGCTCCACACGGTCACACCAAACTCCATTCAAAAAACGGCTGTTTTAAGGAAGTAAAACCTTTATTTCCACCATCAGAGAGACTCTGATTCTCTTCAGCCTACAGACACAATCTGCTCACATTGACTCAGTAACATCATTAACTAACCTGTGAGGAAGAGTTGGACACAGACACACTCACTGACTGTCTGTCATTAACTAACCTGTGAGGAAGAGTTGGACACAGACACACTCACTGACTGTCTGTCATTAACTAACCTGTGAGGAAGAGTTGGACACAGACACACTCACTGACTGTCATTAACTGGCTTTTTAAAATAGTTTGATGTGCAAAATGGGACGCAGCAGCTTTTAGAAATAATACCACTTTAATAATTTAATGATTTAATAATACCACTTTTACAGCGTTTGTTTCACCCAGAGAGTCGTTCTGAATTCAATTCAATTCAATTTTATTTGTATAGCGCCAATTCATAACAGAAGTTATCTCAGGACACTTTTCAAATAGAGCAGGTCTAGACCGAACTCTTTATAACATTATTTACAGAGACCCAACAGTACCACCATGAGCAAGACCTTGGAGACAAGGGCAAGGAAAAACTGCCTGTTAAAAGGCAGAAACCTAGGACAGACCCTTCGGCTCTAGGTGGGTGGTCGTCTGTCTCGACCAGTTGGGGTGAGAGAGAGAGAGAGAGAGAGAGAGAGAGAGACAGAGAGAGAGAGAGCATGAGACAGACAGACAGACAGGTGCACAGCAACAACAGTATTGGCAATGGCAGTCAAGCAGGACCATGGCAGGAGGCTCCACCAGGATCCATGAGAACCTGCGAGATGAGAAACCACAAGAACTCCGGGGAAGAAGTGAAGTTAGTAACATGCATTAATGAGACATGAATGAGTGCAGAAAGAGAGAGGAAGGGAGGAGCTCAGTGCACCATGGGAAATCCCCCGATAGTCTAGGCCTATAGCAGCATAACTAAGGGATGGTTCAGGACTCACCTGATCCAGCCCTAACTATAAGCTTTATCAAAGAGGAATGTCTTAAGCCTACTCTTGAATGTGGTGAGGGTGTCTGCCTCCCGAACCACAACTGGAAGCTGGTTCCACAGGAGAGGAGCTTGGTAACTGAAGGCTCTGGCTCCTGTTCTACTTTTAGAGACTATAGGAACCACAAGTAGCCCAGCATTCAGAGAACGTAGTGTTCTAGAGGGGTAATAGGGTACTATGAGCTCTTTAAGATATGAGGGGGCCTGACCATGAAGAGCTTTATAGGTAAGGAGGAGGATTTTAAATTCTATTCTACATTTTACAGGGAGCCAGTGCAGAGAAGCTAGTACAGGAGAGATGTGATCTCTTTTTCTAGTTCCTGTCAGTACTCGTGCTGCAGCGTTCTGAATTAATTGGAGCGTTTTAATGGACTTATTGGGGCAACCTGATAATAAAGAGTTGCAGTAATCCAGCCTTGAAGTAACAAATGCATGGATTAGTTTTTCTGCATCTGTCTGTGATAGGATGTGTCTAATTTTTCTAATATTACGTAAATGAAAGAAGGCAGTCCTAGAGGTCTGCTTTATGTGGGAGTTAAATGACAAATCCTGATCAAAGATAACTCCAAGATTCCTGACAGTGGTGCTAGAGGCCAAGTTAATGCCATCTAGAGTAACTATATCTTTAGACAGTGAGTTTCTAAGGTTTTTGGGGCCAAGAACAAGAATTTCGTTTTTTTCTGAGAACATCAGAAAATTGCAGGTCATCCAGGATTTTATGTCCTTAAGACATGTTTGTAATTTAGATAATTGATTAATTTCAATGGGCTTGATTGATAGATATAACTGCGTATCATCTGCATAACAGTGAAAGTTAATGGAGTGATTCCTAATAATGTTGCCTAAAGGGAGCATATATAAAGTAATTAGTATTGGTCCAAGTACAGAACCTTGTGGAACTCCATGACTAACTGTAGTATTTATTGAAGATTCATCGTTAACATGTACAAACTGCGAGCGATCTGATAAATATGACTTAAACCAGCTTAGTGCGGTTCCTTTAATGCCAATTTGATGCTCAAGTCTCTGTAAAAGAATATTATGGTCAATGGTGTCAAATGCAGCACTAAGATCTAATAATACAAGTACAGAGACAAGTCCATTGTCAGAAGCAGTCAGAAGGTCATTATTAACTTTAACCAGAGCTGTCTCTGTGCTATGATGAACTCTAAATCCTGACTGAAAATCCTCAAATAAACTATTGTTATGTAGAAAGTCACACAACTCTTTGGCGACTACTTTCTCCAGAATCTTAGAGAGGAAGGGGAGGTTAGAAATCGGTCTATAGTTGGCTAAAACCCCTGGGTCAAGAGTGGGCTTTTTAAGAAGGGGTTTAATTACAGCTACTTTAAAGGACTGTGGTACATATCCTGATAATAAAGAAAGATTAATCATATCCAGTAAAGAAGTGCCAATTAAGGGAACAACTTCTTTAAGCAGCCTAGTTGGGATCGGGTCTAATAGACAGGTTGATGGCTTCGATGAAGAAATGATTGAAGTTAACTGATGAAGATCGATAGCAGAAAAACAGTCTAAATATATATCTAAGTTTACATTAGCAAAGACGAGTCTGAAGACGAGTGGCTGCTCTCATCTCAATCAAGGCCTTCTTGATTTAAAGGCATATAGAAAAATAAACACAGTAGGCCGTTGTCTCATCATCTGGTTCACTTTACTTACTTGAAAAGTAAATAATGTAAATTGTCTAATAGAACAATGACAGAAAACACTGTCAGTAAAGAAGAATATTAATTCAGTTTGATTGTTAAAAATGATAAAAATACATAATACAGAAAGAGATTGTATAAAAAGTTCCCTAAACAGGAAATAATCTGCTCACAATAAATAAATAATCTCTGGTTTTACACAAACTTCCTGCAGTTAGTGAGTTTATTTATAAAATATGTCACTGAGTCAGTTTAATAAAGGATAGAAAAAGGTTGGGAACCAGTGGTTTAAGAGTACTGGAGTAAATGTACTTAGTTACATTCCACCACTCTGTATGTGTGTGTGTGTGTGTGTGTGTGTGTGTGTGTGTGTGTGTGTGTGTGTGCGCAGATAAATACAGTGTTATCAGAGAGGCATCATTTAATCTCATAACGTTGCTGCAGAGACAAACAGGGACATTGATAACCTACAACACACACACACATACACACACACACACACACACACACTCTCACACACTCTCACACACACTCACACACACACACACACACACACACACACACACACACACACACACACACACACACACACACACACACACACACACACACACACACACACACACACACACGCTGCCCTTCATCCTGGGTCCAAGGTGAAACTCTTCCTCAGCTGCAGTGTGAGAGTCGACCTGCAGGGGGAGACAACAGAGAGAGAAACACACACAGGATGGAGGGATGGGTGATTGATTGATTGATTGATTGATTGATTGATTGATTGATTGATTGATTGAAAGAACAAATACAATCAATAATAAGGATTCGGTCTGTGATATTTAAACTGCTCATATTCACTGTATCTGTTAGTTGTTAATGCTGCTGCTTTGCATTTCTCCTATGGGGATCAATAAAGGAACATCTTATCTTATAGATTTAATTTGCTATGCTTTATTTGGTTTATAAAGTGTATATGTATACAATATTGTAGTACTTTAACTTATTGTAGTATTATAAGCCTAACCCTAGGCCCGTGTCTTACAGTCAGACTGAACAGAGGCTGTGTGAATGGGGGGACTGACCACGAGGGCAGTGGCTGTAGTTTCTCAGGTTTTACACCTTTTACTGAAGCATTTAAAGTATTTGTGATCTGATACTGGAATCAACAAGGTGGTTCACTCAGACTGACCCCTGCCAATCCCCCAAATGTGGGAATCCTGACTGCTCAGTTTCTGGTACTGGGGGGTTGTGTTTGTGCTCTCGCCTGATTTTAATGTTGGAGAAAAATAAATTGACTGATATATATATATATATATATATATATATATATATATATATATATATATATACATATATAATTAAAAATTATAAAAAAAATATATATATATATATATATATGTATGTATAGATCTGATTGACTACCAAGTCAGCGCTGTTGTGGGAATGTTCAGCCTTCACTCCCTGCATCAATGAGCCTCGGCCCTCCATGACCCTGTCTCTGGTTCTGTTCCTTCCTTGGACCACTTTTAATAGATACTGACCTCTGCAGACTGGGAACCCCCCACAAGAGCTGCAGGTTTGGAGATGTTCTGACCCAGTCGTCCATCACAATGTGGTTCTTGTCAAAGTGGATCAGATCCTCACGCTGCCCATTTTTCCTGTTTCTAACACATCAACTCTGTTCACTGTCTGCCTGATATACCCCCCCCCAGAACCCCTGACAGAAACCCTGATAACCAGATAATCAGAGTTACTGGCAGAGCTCACTGTGTTACGGCTGATCGCTGTGTTTACTGTCAGTGGTGTACATTTGGGTGTTGCCTCAGATATCAGCACAATGCACCTGGAAGGACGGCAGGTTTAATGCAGAGTCACTGCACACTGTTCAACAGTCTCATCATGGAGCTCCGACTGCGGGTAGCTGCTGTCCTGATGGTCTTAATGGATACAGGTGAGTGCAGTATCAGTGGTAATATTCTGTCTGTTTCTGTGTTATTATCTACCTATAACAGAGCCAGACACATCATTTATACACTGTAAACACAAAAACTGTAAAACAACTGTAATATTCCAGCAGCTGGAGCAGAAAAACTACTGTAATAATTACTTATTACTGTAATATAACAGAAAATAACTGTAAAAATACAGATTACAGCACGTAAACCATAAATCAATAAAGGAAATCACAGCAAACTGTAATTTAATTATACAATAAACACACTGCTCTCAGATTAAAGGCATTTATTTATTTGATTTATTCAGCTCCCAACATAATGACAGTATTTTACCGTAAAAAGAACGGTTTCTGTCTGTATCTGAACGTATCAGCACTGTAGACGCTATCGTATTATCGTGTGTTTGGTCCAGTGAATAAAAATATGACACTCAGTAACCAAAAAATTAAATCAGAATAGAAACATTTTTAAACTTCAACCAACTGTAAAAAACCTCAACGAGGAAATAAAAATAATTTATCTGCTCACATATTTAACCTGAGACTTTACAGCCGACGTGATTCCTCTGAAATGTTTAGTTTGACCTCTCCCTCAGTTTCTCATTAACACATGAACAATCAGTTGACTCAGAAATGTAAATATGCTCGTCGAAACCTTTCTAATAGTTTGTTTGCAGATGGCGTCACTGCGTTCCTGCAGATAATATTTAATAAAACAGATTATAAACTGTTTTATTTACACTGTATTTTTTTAATACATAGAAATATTAATACAATTACAAAAATATCCTGTGAACGAGAAACATTTCTAACTGTAAATATCATAAAATTACTGCTTATTTAAAGAACATTTATTTTTCTTTACATAAAAAGATTAAAATAAATGTTCAAATCTATTTTTTTCACAGATATTTATTGTTTATTTAATAGATTAAACTGTTATTCAAGTTTAATACTGAAAATATGTAAAAAATTATGTATTAGTTGTGTAATTTTAATGTATTAGTGAGTTAACTGACAGATATGTTGTATAATGATGGAAGTTGAATAAATGTTGTTTATCAGTGTATAAGCATTGGTAAACTGTCCAAATACAGTTGTTATCAGTGTAAACAGCAATAATTACTGTAATCTCACAGATAATGACTTTTATTACACTTCTATAACTTTTAACATTCACATTAAAATAATAACAATCCAATAATAACAGCACTCTGCTGTAAATGTAAGTCTGATTATTGTATTATAGCAGAGTTCACCTGGATTTATAGATCATTGTTTTACACTGTAAATATCTTTAATTAAACATTAAAAAGACACAAACTTACACAATATTTTATGTCAAATTAAAGCTAAAAACTGTATTTGATTGATGTGATTCATTTAATTAAAGTCACTGTACTTTAATACTAACTGTATTATTCTGTGTCTCCTACAGGAATCTACGCACAGTCAGATGGTGAGTTATGTTTAATACTTTAGTTTATTCATTTCATTTCTTATTCACACCCATTTTCTCTCTCTTTCTCTTCTTCCTCCACAATCTGTCCGATAGTCAACAGACATTATCTGAGTCTGATGAACAGCAACAAAACCATCAGCTGCAGCTTTTCCATGAACTCTGTTTCCCTTCAGTTTGTGGCTCTGCTCCGCTCAACAAGCTCGGCACCAAGATCGTAGGAGGGGAGGACGCTGCTGCCGGGTCGTGGCCCTGGATGGCCAGTCTGCAACATAACAGAGAACATTTCTGTGGAGGATCCCTGATCAACAACCAGTGGGTCCTGACTGCTGCTCACTGCTTCCCCAGGTGAACTCTGACCCTCAACAAGACGCACTTCATCAGTCTGAACACAGCAGACAGACAATGTGACGAGGCTCATTGTGTTTGTCTTCATCTCATCAGAATCAGTTGTCACATCAAACACATGCTAGCTACATAAATATTCCTACATCCAAACTGTTGTAGGGTGTTACAGTGGTCTAACTGTATTAGTTTAATCAATTAATGGTCATCAAAATGTATAATTATCAAAAGATAATAGAAAATGACTTTAATTAATATTAAAGATCCTCGGGGCACCACCCTTAAATAAGGAAAACAATAACCAATAATCGATCGATCAGTCTCATAGAATTACACTAAACTATTAATTCAGAAGTCGGATCAATAATTAAATTAATAACTACAACCAAAATCATTAATAATAGCTAAAGTGGGAGCTTTGGAGTTCTACATAGAAGAGGTTGGTATCACTCACTCTTGTACGAAATTAAATAGGCCAACATATATAAACACAAATATTTATTAAAGAAATATAATAAAAGCAAACAGAGGAAAATACACAATATGTGTGTGTGTGTGTGTGTGTGTGTGTGTGTGTGTGTGTGTGTGTAACCTTAGATTAACGGTGCAGTTAAAACGATGTCTGTGTGAAGCTTTAAACTAACATCACCTTAGCACTGTCTGAAAGACTACAGTTACTATAGTAACCTGAGTTAATCAGAACAACAGAACAATACAATAAGCTGAATAAAACACATCAGTAACATTAACAGTAATCACACAGTCCTAGTTTAGCCGTTAACTCTGTTAGGTTATCCGTCTGTGCCCAGTACGTTACCGACGGTCCAATGGAGATGAAGAAGGGTTGAGCTGGGTGGGTCAGCCGGTGGTCCTGTGAGCCGGGCTGATCAGAATTGTGGTTCTGAAGTCCAAACTGTCTCTGCTGTGTGGTGTCCGCTGGTGTAGGTAGCAAGAGGAAAGGTGTTTCACTCGGTGCTCTGCAGAGTAACGACTTAGCATTAACGTCGTGTTCCTCCGGTAAAGTCAGCTGACAGACTTTCTGTTTAAAGCTGCAGCCTTGGCCGCATCCCTGGCCCCCCGCTGAGGGGTCTGTTATCTGGGGGGCCCTTCTCCCTTTGTCTTTAGTCACTACAAGAAGGCTTTATTGCTTACATAAGGGCCTCACTGTAGTAAAGGCCATTTCCTTGTGGCCAGATCCCAACATGTTCCCTTTGGTCCAGTCAAACACTTCAAATGAACAAATTCATGTTTAAAGGTCTCCTTGGATCCCAACAACACCCTCCACACATTGAGGTCGAGGGCTTTAACCGAGGGACACATATTAGGTTTTATAAACAAATTAAAGTCTAAACAACAAATGATCGTTAACTTAGGATAAACTGAAAGCTTTCCATATGTGAATCCTGTTCTGTCTCTATAATAATCAGTGTATTGATCAGTGAACGGGTTGTAGCGTAGCGCCTTCTGCTGCCTGTGGACTGATTTCTATGTTCAGTCTAGTGTTTGTCTCTGTTTGCTCAGGATGAGTGTCTCATATATAACATGTCATCTTTCTCAGCACCAGCACGTCCAATCTCATCGTTTACCTCGGAGGTGACGCCCTTCAAATCCCAAACCCTAACGCGGTGTCCCTGACGGTGTCCCAGATAATCAACCATCCGAACTACAATGGCAGCACGTCCAATAACGACATCTCGTTGTTGCGTCTGTCCTCACCTGTAAAGTTCACCGACTACATCAGACCGGTGTGTCTGGCGGCGAACGACAGCGTCTTTGAGGCCGGGACGACCTGCTGGGTCTCTGGATGGGGAACAGTCGCAGTAAACAGTGAGAATGGATTCTGTTATTTTAGTGGATTAACTCAGAAACACTAACATCCAAAATGTTTCCAACAATGTAAAAGCTCCACATCTGCCACGTTACGTTCATGAAAAGCAACAGAAAAGATGTTTGTTGATTTACGTAAATAAAAATGTGCTGCTAGCGACAAGATATAATAAAGATGGCGGTTCCTTCTCGTTAAACATAAAACAAATGTATAAAAATATAATGTTTATGCTAGCTGTTTTCTGGTCCAGCTTTACTTCCAGACTCAATGCTAAGCTAAGCTAGCTAAGCTATCCAGTTTAGATCTTGGTGGTTTTAAAGTCCTCTTAGTGACAGTATTCAAACAACCAATCACAGCCCGAGCACTGCAACTGATTCCTCCTCGAGACTTTAGAAACACAAATATATAGATTTAATTTTATTATTAAATTATAAAAAGAGGAGAAAGTAGAGCATTGGGGACTATTTCTAGCGGCGGATGAATCCACATTTGGTGCTCTAGTGAGTATTTGGGGCAGCAGGATGTTTTTTGGGAAGCTGTATGGCACAGAGGAAGAAGATATATCAGGATATAGCACACACATCTGCAGACTCAACATTAATATCTTTTCTCTTTCAGATCCTCTTCCTTCTCCACAGCGGCTGCAGGAGGTGAGTGTTCCCATCGTGTCCAACAGTCAGTGTGATGCTGCGTACAGCGGAATCAGAAAAATCACCAACAACATGATGTGTGCCGGTCTGGACGAGGGAGGAAAGGACTCCTGCCAGGTGAGTCAGTAAAACACTGTTAACTCTCATATTTACAGCAGCAATAATGAACAGAGCAGTGGCTGGTTGAGTGAGTTTCTCCCCATTCTGAATCTTTTTATTTGATATAAATTAATTAAGCAAGCAAGCTAACGTTATCCAGCTAACAGCCCAATCAGACAGCTTAGCAGTAATGTTAGCTTTGACTTTGGACTTTGTGTTGGACTTGGAGAGAAGACACTCGGGAGCATAAAGGTCACAACCTTTGACCCTCATCCCTACATAGAGACACATAGAGATCAGTCCACAGACAGCAGAGGAACAAAGCTACACTACAACCCGTTCACTGTCTGCTCACACACACTGATTAAAGTTACTGATTGTTGGTGATATAACTGATATGTTTGGTTGGTGCAGGGGGATTCAGGCGGCCCATTGGTGAGTAAGAACGTCTCTAAGTGGGTCCAGGCTGGAGTGGTGAGTTTTGGAAAAGGCTGTGCTCTGCCCAAATACCCTGGAGTCTACACCCGAGTGTCCCAGTACCAGTCCTGGATCAACAGCCACATCACCAACAACCAGCCGGGCTTCGTCACCTTCGAGGGTGACGGTTCAGTCTCTGGAGCTGGCCCACTGGTTTCCTTCCCAGTTCATCTGCTGCTGTCCATCTTTTCCCTGTTTGTCCTTTCATACAAAGCTTAATGATTCTTCGAAAATGTTCTAGATTTTCTGGTCTCAGTCTAGTTTCAGTCTTCTAACATACAGCATGATGTTCATTTAGTAACCGATGGTCCCATTTAGAGTAAAACAGACTATAAAGCAGGGTATGCTTTAGGGCGGGGCTACCTTGTGATTGACAGCTCATTCTCAGTGAGTCCGTTCAGCTCAACGCACCAAACTGTCAAACTGTACTGATCAGATATGGATCCAGATTCTGTTGTTGACTATTTCTCTCCTCAAATCAAATGTCAAATGTGACCAGACGAGCAGTCAATGAGAGCAGCTCAACTCGCTTTACGTGACCTCCGCTGGCTCCGACAAACGGAAAACATGTATTTAAAACTTGTATTCATACAGTAAAATATACAGATAACAGATTTATACCCTAAAAATAACATTTACTAACATGTTTTACAGTGTGACTGATCCATTAAATGGTCACATCTGGATCCAAACAGAGAGACGGCCTTAATGGCGAACTTCAAACCGGCGCTCCACAGACCAACAGGTGACGTCGGAGCAGGTTTACTAGGTGTGGATAGGGCGCAATATCAACACAATGCATCCGTTCTTTAACAGAGTCACTGCAGGCTGTTCATCAACATAGAGCTCAAACTGCTGGTTGCTGCTGTGCTGACAGCCTTAATTTATACAGGTGAGGTTATTATGTCTGTTATTATCTACTTATCAAATGAGACGGTAATATTCGAGCACCAAAAAATACAGTAAAATAACAGAAAATAACTAAATACAGCAATTTACTGTTGTCAAGTAAGTTGAGATCCCTGATCCACTAAAACCACTTTGGAAAGCAAAGGACTGTCCATTGAGTAATGAAGAAAGATAACAACGGAGCATTAGGGACTCTCCATCTGAATAACTCAATGCACAGAGATTATAATAACCAAGCCCTGTATAATGATTGAAGTTGATTCTATTTTACAAAATGAAATATGTGACAATGAAAGGAAACATGATTATATGATTGTAACTGATTATTTGATAATTAATGAGTATAAATGCATAGTAGTAAGATAGAACTATGGAAAGTACGGTCAAGAGAGCAAATCATGTTAAAGTGTTGAGTAACTGTGAGAAAACGCATGTATTGCAACCACATGTCTGGTGCAGAGAGAAAGGGGAAGTTGAGCAAACACAGAGGACCGTCTTGTGAGGAGCAAAAGAGAAAGTAGCACGGCCAAGCAACACCCTAGGGGGATAAAAGGGGCTACACAAGGAGGATCGTGGTTAGTCCTCGGCCGGCTCTCGGGTTCAAGACTTGCTGATCGAGCAACCACATTGGAGCAACTCATCTTTGAACATAGAATTTCAATTCAAGAGACGAAGCAACGAACAAGCCATCAACGCAGAAAGAGAAGTCCAACAACCTACAGCCGAGAAGGGAGCGACGGGCAGAGGAGGATTAACCTTCTCCACCCAGGTACAGGTTCCAACTGATCACCAAGGATCACTCTTTTGTTCGCCCTGCCATCAGAGACTGCACTGAACAGAGACTTTGCGGACTTTGGACAAAGTCGGGAGTTTCAACAGCAACCAACAGTACGGCAGGCAAGGAAGAACTGTATTGGCCGGTACACCTCTTCGCTCTCTCTCTACAAGCTTGACATTCAACCACTCAGCTACAAGCCTTTTCATCAGGGGTTTGAAATTTAACCAATTCTTTTTAATATCAGAAACATACTTAATTTTTATCATTAGATGTGAACAATCAGTTTTGAATCAATGTATGCTGTATGCTGGCCCTTGCTAAATCTTGCAATAAAAATAACCATTGAAGTTAAAGAATAAATTGTGGACCTTGGATTTATGATATCTCATCAGGCAGTAATTATTAGGTCGTGTGTTCATCAACTTAACGGTTCTAACAGGTTACTCTAGCCACAGAAATTCAACAGACCCTTGGGGCTTACTGTACAAACCACTAAAATAATCCTAGCAACTAACAAGTGCACAGATCAATAAGAGGGGAGCTGCCGTTAACGGACGTGACTAATGTGGTATTTGGCTCTAGAGCTATTTGGTCAGGTGCTGCACTAGAGTGAGCAGGGTAGGCATTTGGATGAAGGCAGTTAGAAGCTAGGCGTGTCTCCTCGCCACCAGCAGAAATAGTCCTCTTTTTAACCTTGTAGGGAAATACTCATAGGCAAGAAGCTCGGACCCTTTAAACGGAGAGACAGCCTTAATGCCGAACTTCAAACCGGCGCTCCACAGACAAACAGGTGACGTCGGAGCAGGTTTACTAGGTGTAGCCTCAGATAGAGCGCGATATAAACACAATGCATCCCTTCTTTAACAGAGTCACTGCAGGCTGTTCATCAACATGGAGCTCAAACTGCTGGTTACTGCTGTGCTGACGGCCTTAATGCATACAGGTGAGGTTATTATGTCTGTTATCATCTACTTATAAAAGACACGGTAATATTCGAGCACCAAAAAATACTGAAAAAATAACAGAAAATAACTAAATACAGTAATTTCTGTTGTCAAGTTGAGATCCCTGATCCACTAAAACCACTTTGGTGAGCAAAGGACTGTCCATTGAGTAATGAAGAAAGATAACAACGGAGCATTAGGGACTCTCCATCTGAATAACTCAATGCACAGAGATTATAATAACCAAGCCCTGTATAATGATTGAAGTTGATTCTATTTTACAAAATGAAATATGTGACAATGAAAGGAAACATGATTATATGATAATTAATGAGTATAAATGCATAGTAGTAAGATAGAACTATGGAAAGTACGGTCAAGAGAGCAAATCATGTTGAAGTGTTGAGTAACTATGTGAGAAAACGCATGTATTGCAACCACATGTCTGGTGCAGAGAGAAAGGGGAAGTTGAGCGCACACAGAGGACACACATCTTGTGAAGTTGAGCAAACACAGAGGACTGTCTTGTGAGGAGCAAAAGAGAAAGTAGCACGGCCCCGAACCAAACACCCTAGGGGGATAAAAGGGGCTACACAAGGAGGATCGTGATTAGTCCTCGGCTGGCTCTCGGGTTCAAGACTTGCTGATCGATCGACCACATCGGAGCAACTCATCTTTGAACTTTTCAACTCCGGTGTTCGGATGAAGGCAGTTAGACGCTAGACGTGTCTCCTCGCCACCAGCTTAAATAGTCCTCTTTTTAACCTAGTAGGGTAATACTCATAGGCAAGAGGCTCAGACCCTTTAATCGGAGAGCTGGTCCAGTACCACCTATACGGGGGTAACTTGGGATCTAACACTGTTTAACAATGAAAATTACCTATAAAAACAGGCAAACTCTGCTATAATACAAAGAATCTGGCTTAAATTTACAGAAGAGTCCATAGTTATACCATATATCTGTCAATTAACAAACAAATCCTTTTAATGTTGTCATTCATTTTACATAACTTATTTAACAGTATTAAACTTGAATTGTTTAATATTTTAAATAAACATTAAATATCTGCAAATGTATTTTAATCTTTTCATGTGAAAAACAGATTTTTCACTTTATTTTACATTAAACGTCACAGGATATTTTTGTAGTTTTATTAATATTTGTCTGTATTTAAAAAATACAGAAATCTGTAAAATAAATGGTAAAAACCCTGTAAAAGTACTTACTGTGTATCAATATGTATGTTTCTGTTCACTGTATCTGGTCATAAAATACACTATAAACACTAGAGCTGTGTTCTATATGGAATTGATTCAATCAAAAATCGTTAAAACGTTTTAATAATTACATCAGAACAAAGTTAAAATACTAATCAAAATTAAATATAATTAATGAATACAAAAGAGAAAGTGAAAGTGAGAAAATTATAAGAATTGAAGCAAGATAAGATCATCAGGAGTTATTTGTTAACAGGAAGGTCACTGAGAGTGAACGCTGGCGCCCAGATAACAGCACGTAACCGTAAATCAATATAGATTACCTGTACAAAGCTTACTGAAGCTTACTGATGTTTTATAAGAACTTATTTGAGTTTCTGAACCTCAAACTTTGTGTTCCTTTCAGAGCTGTAACACATAAAGGATCTCTTACAGTAGCAACAATAGAACAGATAAAAGATGCATGTGAGCCGATTTCTAAACATATAACCTAAATCCTTTACATGTTTGATTCATAACAACACACATGAATGTTTGCTAACACACAACCTTAATGCGAAGTTTGCATTAGCGACTAATTCATTCATTTCATCTAAAGGCTTAAATTAGCATAGCATAACAGTTACAAAACAAACCCTCATAAACTGATAGAAACAATGAATCAGTTACCTTGTTCCCGTTCCAGTCGGGAGCTGAAATATCAACTCCTTTGTTAAAGTTGTGACACCAGAGCAGCAACTTTATCCATCTGAACTCAGGTCAGTTTCCATTCTGATCGACGCCACATCCTTTATTTTACCTCATGAAGTTTATCATGAATACATGAACAATCAATTCGCTAAGAAAGGTTTTTATGCTCATCTTGTTTCCGCATGGAGTCACGTTGCTCCTGAAGTTCAGACGGCAGATGGACAGAAAGTAATTTTCTACATCGGATGACAAACTCTCTGTAGCAAGTCTCTAGCTAATGTGGGTACTGGCGGCACACAAACTCAACAAAGACCGGTTAGTTGTATCAGGTAACTTTTATTAACACTCCAGCCCAGGTCCAGCACACTACTGCAACATAAAGGTAGAGTGATTAGACAATAACTAGCAGCTGTGGTAATGAACTCACCTGGTGCTGCTCTCACAAGCCTCCCCACACCTCTCTCCTGCAGTGCAAACCACCTCCACGCTCAAAATGCCTTTTTTATTTACAGTCACTCAAAATGACCAAGGTGAAAAACCCTGAGGAGCTTTTATTGAGAAGTTTTTCATCATGAAAATAAATTCACCTAAAAACGGCAGAAAAAATGTTGTGTGTTCTTCTGGTGACGTTGCAGCAGTGTGTTTATCAAAATACAGAAATATCCTTTGAATTTACATATCTAATGTAAAATAACTTATTTTTTACATAAAAAGATTAAAATACATTTGCAAATCAAGTTTTTTTTGCAGATATTTATTGTTTATTTAATAGATTAAATTGTTAAATTCAAGTTTAATATTGTTAATTCATTTCTAATATTATATGAAATCAGTGACATTAACAGTAAAAAGTATTAATTGTGAAATTTTAATGTATTTGTTAGTTAACTGACAGATATGTTGTATAATGATGGAAGTAGAATAAATGTTGTTTATCAGTGTATAAGCATTGGTAAACTGTCCAAATACAGTTGTTATCAGTGTAAACAGCAATAATTACTGTAATCTCACAGATAATGACTTTTATTACAGTTCTATAACTTTTAACATTCACATTAAAATAATAACAATCCAATAACAGCACTCTGCTGTAAATGTAAGTCTGATTATTGTATTATAGCATTATAGTATTATATTTATAGATCATTGTTTTACACTGTAAATATCTTTAATTAAACATTAATAAGGTTTTATGTCAAATAAAAGTTAAAAACTGTACTTGATTGTTGTGATTCACATTAAGAGATTTTAGTCACTTTACTTTAATACTAACTGTATTATTCTGTGTCTCCCACAGGAATCTACGCACAGTCAGATGGTGAGTTATGTTTCATACTTTAGTTTATTCATTTCAGTTCAGTTTTATTTGTATAGCACCAATTCATAACAGAAGTTCTCCGGACACTTTTCAAATAGAGCAGGTCTAGAACGAACTCCTTATAGTTATACTTATACAGTGCCTTGTATTCACCCCTTGGCATTTTTCGTGTTTTGTTGCCTCACAACCTGGAATTAACATGGATTGTTTGAGGATTTACATCATTTAATTTACAGAACATGCCCACAACTTTTCATCGTGTAATCAAGGAAACTTACTTATCACTCTACGACACAATGAAACTAAAGTTCCTTCATGCTACACACAGAGAAAAAGACTATTAACATAAAATAAGGCTTATTTACAGTTATTTATATATACAGAATGTAATTCTGAATGAACTCCTGGTTGAATGTAAACAGCAACAAGACAGTGATGATAATCTGGTTTCATCTTCACATTAAAACATTCAGTTCGACTGCGTTTGAGCACCAAACATCATCGATGTAAACTCAGAGTCGTCTCCTTTCGTCCGGCAATCTGTCGGAGAGGAACTCGGTGGAGCCGGTCTCTGTAAAGATGTGGATACAACAATATCTGAATCCGACTTGTTTGTCCCGACTGAGTCCCATTTCATTAAAAAACAGACATTATCCAGGAGTAGCCTTAAGTCCAAGCTGGACCAGCACGGCTCCTATCCGGGTCTCTTCCTCTCCTCTTGGGCCAACAGCAACCTGCTGTTCGTGATTTGTCTTCAATGTCCACTTTAAAAATATTTCACATGGCTTCAATTTCCCTCTCATTCTCATCTGAGGACAGTTTGGTCTTTTGATGAAGTTCATACATATGTAACATGTTGTCTTCTCTGTTTCTCAGCACCAGCACGTCCGATCTCATCGTTTACCTCGGAAGTAATGCCCTTCAAAACCCAAACCCTAACGCAGTGAACTGGACTGTGTCCCAGATAATCAACCATCCGGACTACAATAATGAAACGTTCAACAACGACATATCCTTGTTGCGTCTGTCCTCACCTGTAAAATTCACCGACTACATCAGACCGGTGTGTCTGGCGGCGAACGGCAGCGTCTTTGAGGCCGAGACGACCTGCTGGGTCACCGGATGGGGAGATATCGCAGAAAACAGTGAGAATGTATTCTGTCATTGTAAAATGTTTTGTTAATAGAAATTAGTTCATAATTCCCACCCTGGTATTGTTTTCACCTTGTGAGTCTGAGTCATCTTGACAAAACGTGTTCCTGGAGAAACCCACTGTAGGAGGAACTAATACAGAAGTGGTTTTGAGTATTTTGGCAGGTGTTTATGTGGCTGTGGAGTAAATACTTACGTTCCACCACTGCCTTTAAAGCATCTATATGCTCAGTTTGTGCTGGTCCAGACCTTAAAACTGGTCCAACATCTCACAGTGAGACACGTCAACCAAGACAGCAAATTCAAATGTTAGGACCAAATTAATGTGAGTGCTGCTTAAACAACCAATTTTGTTACCAACAAATCCCTCAAAAACACAAATCTTCTTACTTTACCTCACAAATAGGTTAAACAGGTAAGGTAATGGTAAACAGTGATCCAAAAAAACAATGGAAATGGAAAACTTGACTCAAAGGACGAAAACAAACAGGAACGAACAACTACGACTTCAACTTACTCAACATTAATATCTTTTCTCTTTCAGTTTCTCTTCCTTTTCCACAGCGGTTGCAGGAGGTGAGTGTTCCCATCGTGTCCAACAGTCAGTGTGCCACTGCGTACAACGAAATCAGTAATATCACCAACAACATGATGTGTGTCTGGACGAGGGAGGAAAGGACTCCTGCCAGGTGAGTCTGTAAAACCCTGTTATAAACAGAGCTTTCACTGGTTCCAAGTGTTTCTCCCCATTCTGAATCTTCAACATCAAAAAAAAAAAAATGTAATTCATCAGAAGAGTCTTTGTTAGTGTTGTTATAGTTACTGATGGTCTGTACGTCTGTAGGCGCCAGCGAGCATCATCCTGGGCGTCGACCAACAGAGACAAACACTGAACGCTGTAAAATAACTGACAATCATATTTAGAATAACGTTACTATCTGCAATGTTCCTATATTTTATTTGGACCATTAGCTCCATGCTAATAACTAGCTTGCTGTTTACAAATCACCCCATCAGCCAACACCACGAAGCAACCAACGCCACACCCACAATGCAACGCCAAGACACAGCCGGACAACCACAGCTTAGCTTAGCTACAGTTAGCTACCTGGATGCCCCTGCCTCACTTCACTCCTGACTAGCAGAAAGCTATCGTTAGCTTTGTACCATTATAATACATTTTAGTATCATCACATTAGCTGATGAAGTCATTTAGCAAGATAACGTTATCCAGCTAACAGCACAATCAGACAATATGTTCCACTAGCTTAGCAGTAATGTTAGCTTTGACTTTGGACTCTGTGTTGGACTCTGTGTTGGACTCTGTGTTGTGGACTCTGTGTTGGACTCTGTGTTGGACTCTGTGTTGTGGACTCTGTGTTGGACTCTGTGTTGTGGACTCTGTGTTGGACTCTGTGTTGGACTCTGTGTTGTGGACTCTGTGTTGGACTCTGTGTTGTGGACTCTGTGTTGGACTCTGTGTTGGACTCTGTTGTGGACACTGTGTTGTGGACTCTGTGTTGTTGGACTCTGTGTTGTGGACTCTGTGTTGGACTCTGTGTTGGACTCTGTGTTGGACTCTGTGTTGTGGACTCTGTGTTGTGGACTCTGTGTTGTGGACTCTGTGTTGGACTCTGTGTTGTGGACTCTGTGTTGGACTCTGTGTTGGACTCTGTGTTGTGGACTCTGTGTTGTGGACTCTGTGTTGTGGACTCTGTGTTGGACTCTGTGTTGCCCACTGTTGGCACTCGGGAGCATAAAGGTCACAACCTTTGACCCTCATCCCTACATAGAGACACATAGAGACACATAGAGACACATAGAGACACATAGAGATCAGTCCACAGACAGCAGAGGGACAAAGCTCCACTACAACCTGTTCTCTCTGCTCACACACACTGATTAAAGTTACTGATTGTTGGTGATATAACTGATATGTTTGGTCTGTGCAGTGGGATTCCCTGCATCCCTGATCCCTTAGTTATGCTGCTATAGGCCTAGACTATCGGGGGATTTCCCATGGTGCACTGAGCTACTCTCTTCCTCTCTCTTTCTGCACTCATTCATGTCCCATTAATGCATGTTACTAACTCCACTTCTTCCCCGGAGTTCTTGTGCTTCTCGTCTCGCAGGTTCTCATGGATCCTGGTGGAGCCTCCTGCCATGGTCCTGCTTGACTGCCATTGCCAATACTGTTGTTGCTGTGCACCTGTCTGTCTGTCTGTCGCTCTCTCTCTCTCTCTCTCTCTCTCTCTCTCTCTCTCACCCCAACTGGTCGAGACAGACGACCACCCACCTAGAGCCGGAGGATCTGTCCTAGGTTTCTGCCTTTTAACAGGCAGTTTTTCCTTGCCCTTGTCGCCAAGTGCTTGCTCATGGTGGTACTGTTGGGTCTCTGTAAATAATGTTATAAAGAGTTCGGTCTAGACCTGCTCTATTTAAAAAGTGTCCTGAGATAACTTCTGTTATGAATTGGCGCTATACAAATAAAATTGAATTGAATTGAATTGAATTGAATTCAGGCGGCCCGTTGGTGACTAAGACCGTCTCTAAGTGGGTCCAGGCTGGAGTGGTGAGTTTTGGAAAAGGCTGTGCTCTGCCCAAATACCCTGGAGTCTACACCCGAGTGTCCCAGTACCAGTCCTGGATCAACAGCCACATCACCAACAACCAGCCGTGCTTCGTCACTTTCGACGGTTCAGTCTCTACAAGTGATTCTTCAGACTCTGGAGCTGCTCCACTGGGTTACGTCCCAGTGTCTCTGGTGCTGTCCATCTTCTCTCTGTTCATATAACATTTTATGATTTTTCTGAAATATTAATTATTTTCTTTAAAGTTCCCATGAAACTGTTATTTGCATCCTCATATTTACGTGTTTCCTGTAAGAACTTGCTGATATTGATGCCGACAGAGGACAGGTTGAAGACAGGGACTACAGTACCAAGGTGGTTTAGCTCCTGGCAGACGAGGGTTGAGCAGCTAGCTGCAAGGCCAACCTGGCTAACTTGCTAACATTGGCCATCAGGAAATTCTGTAACTCACCTTTCGGAACTGACCTCCTAACATTGTCGTTAGCACTAAAAACTCTTTAAGTCACCTCGGTACCGCTGTCGTTGAACTGCCCTTCGTCTGTCTGTGTGGCCCGTTTCCACCAAAGTAGTTGTGGTTCTTGAACTGGTTCCGTTCGAGATCTGCAGGTTTGAGTGCAACCGTTAGCAATCAGATGCATCGTTAACAGAGGGTGCTGCACAATGTCCCGTACTGTAGTTCCCAGAGAAAACTGAACATTTCTGGTTCCAACTTTTCAGTTTTTGTTTGTTTTTGGCACAAATGCACCAAACGATTCAAAAGTAGGTGCTTGAACCTGAACAGAGACAGTTGCCATCAGACTGTCTGCCAGTCAGAGTATCTACGAACTGGGTCACATACTGGAGTAAAAACATTTTGACTTACCTTTGTTTATGTTTGTTTGATCGATACAGTTTGGTTCATGAATGTATTAATTATCCAGTCTGATGTATCACAGCATTTATAACCAGAGATCATTTTCATTTTAAACATAAAATATGTAAAAGGACAGTGAAACTATGTGGTTGGTTTTATTGACCCTGCAGGAACAGCAGTAAGACTCACAGACATATTCCCCACAGATACACAGGAACACATGATATTGATCTGCTGTTAAACATTCAAACAAGTCTAATTTTAAATCAATGTTAGTTTGTTTTAATATCAACAGATTTCATGGGAACTTTAAAATTGCTTTAGTTAATTAATTAGTTTCTTGAAGATGCTATTTAAAACACTTTAGTGTTTAATATTAAAACTGTTTAATATGTTTAATTGGGGCTGAAAATAATGATTGTTTTTATTTTTTATTTCTTAACTAATAATTGTAAAACTTCTAATACCTTATTGATTCAACCAACAGAGATTATTCTCATGTCAGGGTTAGAGTTTCTCTTACACATTATAATCCAAGAAACAAATCAATAATCAATAATCAGTAAACCAAGCTGTGCATGAAGGTAGAAATGTAATCAAATGACTCAAACAATAAACTGTCAGTAACACATGAGCTCTGTCTGCTGCATTACTTTATTTCTACTCAGATTCATTCATTAATGTGACAACCTGCAGATGTTCAGGTAACAGGAAACAGCGTCGGCGCTCTGCTGAATGAACTGAAGCTCTCAGTCCAACAGGAACGAAGTGGTGACGTAGTAAAGCCTCCGGCTTCATGTGATTGGCTGTCTGGGACATGTGTGACATTAATGAGAGGAGGAGGAGGAGGAGGAGGAGGAGGAAGAGCCAGGCGGCGTCAGGAAGGCAACATGGTCTGACCCTGATAATGTTTTAGAGTTCGCAAAGTACTGACCGAAATAAAAGAGGAAGAAAGAGGAAAGAAAGCACACATTAAGTGAAGTTGAGACACATTCTGAGTCGACAGTGACTTTAAAGTTCCCAACGATTAACGTTATTTGCATCCTCGTATGTGTGTTTACTGTAAACACAGGCAGCTAGTGAAGGACTCGCTGAAGAAAGACTCGTCCAGGACTGGGAGTTTGCAGTGAACCCAGACCGGGACCGAAGGCAGCATCTGATACCGACAGAGGACAGTTTGACTACAGGGAATAAAGTACAGAGGTAACGGCAGCTAGAATCACAGTCAGCAGCAGTTAGTGGTTTGATGCTTTACATCAGGAAACCCTGTACCTGCTGTCAAACTGACCTCCGTCTGTCCCGTGTTCCAGTCTCGGCCCTTTTTCCACCAACTTTTCAGGTTCCGAATCGACCCCGCCGAGTGCAGAATGAGTCATCAAGAGTTATTTTATTGTGTTTAATGACAAACTCTAAAATACCATTAAGATTATCTATAACATGTAAAAAGACAGCAAAGTGAAACTCCTCATACAGACACTCTCCACAGATTCACAGGAACACATGATATTGATCTGCTGCTAAACATTCACAAGTATAATACTAAATCAATGTCGGTCTGTTTTAATATCAGCAGTCTTCAAGGGAACTTTAAAATTGCAGAAAATATAGAAATGAATAATGATTGTTTTCATTATTTATTAATTAAATTGTTTTCTTAACTAATTATTGTTAAACAGATATTCAGTTTATGATCATGTACGATAAATGAAGTTGACTGTCTCTAATGCGTGTGCTGGTGCCTCATTTAAAAACATTTATTGCCTCCATTTAACTCTGCATAAATCAATAATCAATACAGTAAACCAAGCTGTGCATGAATGAGGTAGAAAAGTAATCAGCTCTGTAGCTCTCTCACAGTCCAACAGCTAACTGGCTAGCAAACAAAACAGGAAGGAAGTGGTAAAGTAATCAAGCCTATTGATTATTGGTTGTCACTGACGAGTGATGTTATATATATTTTGAATTTTATGCGTCTAAAACCTTTCAAAAAACTACAACACTTGGTGAGGAGAGGATCCCCGTACATTGACAGTTTATATAACAGTGTTTTAAAGCTGCATTCTCTCTAACAGCCAACAGGGGGCAGCTCCACTCTGATAGTATTGAGTCTTATGGAGAAGTTGATTGATGAGCTCAGTAAACAGTTCCTGATGAGTTTCTGGTCTCAGTCTCTAGTTTCAGTCTTCTTCCATACAGCATGATGTTCATTTAGTAACTGATGGTCCCATTTAGAGTAAAACAGACCATAAAGCAGGGTATGCTTTAGGGCGGACTTATATATAGAAGAAGAAGAAGAAGAAGAAGAAGAAGAAGATATGTACTTTATTAATCTCCTATTGGGGAAAAACTTTTTACTCTTTTTTTTTTATACACACACACACACACACACAAACACAAGGCTGTATATGTGTATATTTTATGCACCAAGTGCACCAGGTCACATTCCTCGTAGGCGTAAAAACCTACTTGGCAATAAACAAAATTCTGATTCTGATTCTGATTCTGATTCTGAAATACACACTTGTGGACATGCGACATGGAGAGAGAGATGGTGGAGTTGAGCAGTTTCTTGGGGATAGGTTGCCTTGCTCAAGGGGCACCTCGGCAGTGCACCGGAGGTGAAACCCTATTCACTGAGCTACTGACGCCCATATACTTATATTTACAGTATTAAACTTGAATTTAACAGTTTAATACTTTAAATAAATATTAAATATCTGCAAATGTCTGTTAATCTTTTCATGTGAACACAGTTGTTTCACCTTATTTTATATTAAATATCACATATTTTTTATTTTTTATTAATATTTGTATGCATTTCAAAAATTACTGAAATCTGTAAAATAAATGGTAAAAACCCTGTAAACTTGCTTTTCTTGTACAGTGTGTGTATCAGTATGTATGTTTCTGTTCACTGTATCTGGTCATAAAAGACACTATAAACACTAGAGCTGTGTTCTATATGGAGTTGATTCAATCAATAATCTATAAAATCTTTTAATAATTACATCAGAACAAAGTTAAAATACTAATCAAAATAAAATAGAATTAATGAATACAAAAGAGAAAGTGAAAGTTAGAAAAGGATAAGAATTGAAGCAAGATAACATTATCAGGAGTTATTTGTTAACAAGACGCCGGCGCCCAGATAACAGCACGTAACCGTAAATCAATATAGATAATATAAATCACAGAAAACTGTACAAAGCTTACTGAAGCTTACTGATGTTTTATAAGAACTTATTTGAGTTTCTGAACCTCAAACTTTGTGTTCCTTTCAGAGCTGTAACACATAAAGGATCTCTTACAGTAGCAACAATAGAACAGATAAAAGATGCATGTGAGCCGATTTCTAAACATATAACCTAAATCCTTTACATGTTTGATTCATAACAACACATGTGAATGTTTGCTAACACACAACCTTAATGCGAAGTTTGCATTAGCGACTCATTCATTCAGTCACCTGAAGGCTACCGTTAGCATAGCATTTACCTTCACTGTTAAAATCAATGAATCAGGTACCTTGTTCCCGTTCCAGCCGGGAGCTTCATTATCAACAAGAACTCCTTTGTTACACAGTTAAGTTCTTACAACAGGTCAAGTTCCAGTCTTATCGATGCCACATCCTTTATTTTAACGGAAGTTTTGTTTGACCTCATGCCAGAAACCTCCCCCACAGTTTATCATGAACACATGAACAGTTGGTAGATCAGAAAGGTCTTTATGCTCATCTTGTTTGCACATTGAGTCATATCGCTCCTGAAGTTCAGACTGCAGATGGACAGAAAGTAATTTTCTACATTGGATGACAAACTCTCTGTAGCAAGTCTCTAGCTACCGTGGGTACTGGTGGCACACAAACTCTAAGACCGGTTAGTTGTATCACGTAACTTTTATTAACACTAGGTTGTAGGTTGCTATACCGTGACTCTTTCCCACAGCTTCCGACTGATGTATAACACCGGGTGGTCCACACCCTGCACCTGCTGAGACAGAACGCCCCCCAGCCCCCTGTTCGAAGCATCAGTCTGCAGGATAAAAGGGAGAGAAAAGTTAGGTGTGTGAAGCAGAGGCTTCCCACAGAGGGTTTGTTTCACCCTCTCAAACGCCAGCTGACACTGCTCCGTCCACTGAACCGGATCTAAGGCAGCCTTTCGAGTGAGGTCGGTCAGGGGGCTGGTCAGGTCTGCGAAGTTGGGAATGAACCGCTGGTAATAACCTGCCAGCCCCAAGAACCGCCTCACCTCCTTTTTGGTCTTGGGCCATGGGCTGGCTGCAAATTGTCTAAGTCTAATTCCTCTGTTGTACAGGCGCGATTGACGCTACTGAGCCCTGAGCAAATTCTCCCGTGACAACTGTCCCAACGTGTGGAGTTTTGCTCTAGCACCATGGTACAACCACCAAACCTGCCAGTTAAAGCAAAAAGCGCTGAAATCTGAAAGGAAATGGCGCTCTTACAAATTATCAGAATATCGCTCAATTTGGCAAGATAATCTTAAAACTTATAGAAAGGCCCTCCGTAATGCCAGAGGAGCCTATTACTCAGCACTAATAGAAGAAAATAAGAACAACCCTAGGTTCCTCTTCAGCACTGTAGCCAGGCTGACAGAGAGTCACAGCTCTATTGAGCCACATATCCCCATAAACTTAAGTAGCAATGACTTCATGAGCTTCTTCTATAAGAAAATTATTACTATTAGAGAAAAAATTAATTACCAACTGCCATCAACAGTTATCAGTGGCTCTCCAAGTTCAGGGACTTCTGTCAATGTAAACTTAGATGTATATTTAGACTGTTTTTCTGCTATCGATCTTCATCAGTTAACTTCAGTAATTTTTACATCGAAGCCATCAACCTGTCTATTAGACCCGATCCCAACTAGGCTGCTTAAAGAAGTCGTACCCATAATTGGGACTTCTTCTAAAAATAACATTTAATAGCATATTTTACTGTGTGACTGATCCATTATATGGTCACATCTGGATCCAAACATGGCGACGACCTTAATGATGAACTTCAAACCGGCGCTCCACAGACCAACAGGTGACGTCGGAGCAGGTTTACTGGGTGTGGCCTCAAATAGAGCACAATATCAACACAATGCATCCGTTCTTTAACATAGAGTCACTGCAGGCTGTTCATCAACATGGAACTCAAACTGCTGGTTGCTGCTGTGCTTACGGCCTTAATGCATACAGGTGAGGTTATTATGTCTGTTATTACCTACTTATAAAAAAAGATGATAATATTCGAGCACCAAAAAATAGAGTAAAATAACAGAAAATAACTCATACAGTAATTTTCTGTTTAACAATGAAAATTACCTATATAAACAGGTGAACGCTGCTATAATACAAAGAATCTGGCTTAAATTTACAGAAGAGTCCATAGTTATACCCTATATCTGCCAATTAACAAATGAATCCTTTTTACTGTTGTCATTAATTTTACATAACTTTTTTAACAGTATTAAACTTGAATTTAACTGTTTAATATTTTAAATAAACGTGAAATATCTGCAAATGTATTTTAATCTTTTCATGTGAAAAAAGGACATTTTCTTTAAATAAGCAGTAATTTTATGATTATTTACAGTCACAGATTTTTCACATTATTTTACATTAAACATCACTGGATATTTTTGTCATTTTATTAATATTTTTTACAGTGTGTGTATCAGTGATTTGTTAACAGGAAGGTCACTGAGAGAAAACTGTACAAAGCTTATTGAAGCTTACTGATGTTTTATAAGAACTTATTTGAGTTTCTGAACCTCAAACTTTGTGTTCCTTTCAGAGCTGTAACACATAAAGGATCTCTTACAGTAGCAACAATAGAACAGATAAAAGATGCATGTGAGCCGATTTCTAAACATATAACCTAAATCCTTTACATGTTTGATTCATAACAACACACATGAATGTTTGCTAACACACAACCTTAATGCGATGTTTGCATTAGCGACTCATTCATTCAGTCACCTGAAGGCTACCATTAGCATAGCATTTACCTTCACTGTTAAAATCAATGAATCAGGTACCTTGTTCCCGTTCCAGCCGGGAGCTTCATTATCAACAAGAACTCCTTTGTTACACAGTAAAGTTCTTACAACAGGTCAATTTCCAGTCTTATCCTTTATTTTACTGGCAGTTTTGTTTGACCTCATGCCAGCAACCTCCCCCACAGTTTATCATGAACACATGAACAGTTGGTAGATCAGAAAAGTTTTTATGCTCATCTTGTTTGCACATTGAGTCATGTCGCTCCTGAAGTTCAGACTGCAGGTGGACAGGAAGTAATTTTCTACATCGGATGACAAACTCTCTAAATGTCTTTTTTATTTACGGTCGCTCAAAACGACAAAAGTGAAAAACCATGAGGAGGTTTTATTGAGAAGTTTTTCATCATGGAAAATGCCAGAAATTCACCAAAAAACGACGGGAAAATGTTGTGGTGACATTTCAGAAGTGGAAAAAGTCTGTGTGTTTACAAGTTTTTCATGTTGATTTTTTGTTGTTAGTTAACTGACAGATATGTTGTATAATGATGGAAGTTGAATAAATGTTGTTTATCAGTGTATAAGCATTGGTAAACTGTCCAAATACAGTTGTTATCAGTGTAAACAGCAATAATTACTGTAATCTCACAGATAATGACTTTTATTACACTTCTATAACTTTTAACATTTACATTAAAATAATAACAATCCAATAATAACAGCACTCTGCTGTAAATGTAATCTGATTATTGTATTATAGCAGAGTTCACCTGGATTTATAGATCATTGTTTTACACTGTAAATATCTTTAATTAAACATTAAAAAGATTGTATGTGAAATTAAAGCTAAAAACTGTATTTGATTGATGTGATTCACATCACTTTACTTTAATACTAACTGTATTATTCTGTGTCTCCCACAGGAATCTACGCACAGTCAGATGGTGAGTTATGTTTCATACTTTAGTCATTTAATTTCTTCCGATAGTCGACTGAGTCTGACAGACAGCAACAAAACCATCAGCTGCAGCTTTTCCATGAACTCTGTTTCCCTTCAGTTTGTGGCTCTGCTCCGCTCAACAAGCTCGGCACCAAGATCGTAGGAGGGGAGGGCGCTGCTGCCGGGTCGTGGCCCTGGATGGCCAGTCTGCAACATAACAGCGAACATTTCTGTGGAGGATCCCTGATCAACAACCAGTGGGTCCTGACTGCTGCTCACTGCTTAAACAGGTGACCTCTGACCCTCAACAAGATGCACTTCATCTTATCAGGAATAATCAGATTACAGCTTTTAAATTATTTTTGCAGAATAAAAACAAAAGCATGAGCACAATAAGACCATTGAGGACTTCCACTATACACACAACACAATGGAAGAAGGTTCTAATCCCCACTCATTCATGTTCCATTAATGCATGTTACTAACTCCACTTCTTCCCCGGAGTTCTTGTGCTTTCTCGTCTCGCAGGTTCTTATCGATCCTGGTGGAGCCTCCTGCCATGGTCCTGCTAGATTGCCATTGCTAATATCACTGATATTACTGTTATTATTATTATTATTATTATTAATATTATTATTACTACAGTTACTATTATTACTATTGTCACTGCTCATTGTCCTCCATCGTTGCTGTTGTCGCCGTCGTCGTCATCTTCTTCATGTTCATCATCATCAGTCACTACTATTAGTGCAGTTGTTGCTACTGTTATTGCTGTGCAACTGTTTGTCTGTCTCTGTCTCTTTCTCTCTCTCTCTGTCTCTCTCTCTCTCTCTCTCACCCCAACTGGTCGAGACAGACAACCACCCACCTAGAGCCGAAGGATCTGTCCTAGGTTTCTGCCTCTTAACAGGCAGTTTTTCCTTGCCCCCCTTGCCAAGGTCTTGCTCATGGTGGTACTGTTGGGTCTCTGTAAATAATGTTATAAGGAGTTCGGTCTAGACCTGCTCTATTTGAAAAGTGTCCTGAGATAACTTCTGTTATGACTTGGCGCTATTTAAATAAAATTGAATTTAATTGAATTGAATAGTGGAATCAAGGAAACTTACTCATCACATAAAATAAAGCTTATAGATAGATTTTCTTCTTGTTTTTTTAGATAGATAGGACTTATATACAGTTATTTATACACATATACATGATGTAATTCTGAATGAGCTCCAGGTTGAATGTAAACAGCAGCAACAAGACAGTGGACCAGCACTGATCCTATCTCTCTCTCTTCCTCTCCTCTTGGGGCAGCAGCAAACTGCTGTTGGTGGTTTGTCTTCAGTGTTCGCTGCTCTTTAAAAATATTTCACATGGCTTCAATTTCCCTTTTAGTCCCTGACAGCGCTATAATCCTGACTTGTTATGTGGAAGAAACAGTTTGGATCACAAAATCTTCCAACAATGTTCCAACTAGTAATACTATCTATATCTAAATACTAACTATATTTAGATGGTAAATAAATTCAATACAAAAAAATATTGTCCATCACTCATCTGAGGACAGTTTGGTCTTTTGATGAAGTTCATGCAGACAGACAGCACCGGTGTGTCTGTCTCTCACATATGTAACTTGTTGTCTGTGTTACTTCTGTTTTTCAGCACCAGCACATCCGATCTCATCGTTTACCTTGGAGGTAATGCCGCTGTAGACCCAAACCCTAACGCGGTGTACCGGACGGTGTCCCAGATAATCAACCATCCGAACTACAATAATGAAACGAACAACAATGACATATCATTGTTGCGTCTGTCCTCACCTGTAAAATTCACCGACTACATCAGACCGGTGTGTCTGGCGGCGAACGGCAGCGTCTTTGAGGCCGAGACGACCTGCTGGGTCACCGGATGGGGAGATATCGCAGAAAACAGTGAGAATGGATTCTGTCGTTGTAAAATGTTTTGTTAATAGAAATTCAATTCAATTAAATTCAATTTTATTTGTATAGCGCCAATTCATAACAGAAGTTATCTCAGGACACTTTTCAAATAGAGCAGGTCTAGACCGAACTCCTTATAACATTATTTACAGAGACCCAACAGTACCACCATGAGCAAGACCTTGGAGACAAGGGCAAGGAAAAACTGCCTGTTAAAAGGCAGAAACCTAGGACAGACCCTTCGGCTCTAGGTGGGTGGTCTTCTGTCTCGACCAGTTGGGGTGAAAGAGAGAGAGAGACAGAGAGAGAGAGAAAGAGAGAGAGAGAGAGGGAGAGACAGACAGGTGCACAGCAACAACAATAGCAATAACTACACTAAAAGTAGTGACTGATGACGATGACGACGACAACAGCAACGATGGGGGACAACGAGCAGTGACAATACTAATAGTAGTAACTGTAGTAATAATAATAATAATAATAACAGTAATATCAGTGATATTAGCAATGGCAGTCAAGCAGGACCATGGCAGGAGGCTCCACCAGGATCCATGAGAACCTGCGAGACGAGAAAGCACAAGAACTCCGGGGAAGAAGTGGAGTTAGTAACATGCATTAATGGGACATGAATGAGTGCAGAAAGAGAGAGGAAGAGAGGAGCTCAGTGCACCATGGGAAATCCCCCGATAGTCTAGGCCTATAGCAGCATAACTAAGGGATGGTTCAGGACTCACCTGATCCAGCCCTAACTATAAGCTTTATCAAAGAGGAATGTCTTAAGCCTACTCTTGAATGTGGTGAGGGTGTCTGCCTCCCGAACCACAACTGGAAGCTGGTTCCACAGGAGAGGAGCTTGGTAACTGAAGGCTCTGGCTCCTGTTCTACTTTTAGAGACTATAGGAACCACAAGTAGCCCAGCATTCAGAGAACGTAGTGTTCTAGAGGGGTAATAGGGTACTATGAGCTCTTTAAGATATGAAGGGGCCTGACCATGAAGAGCTTTATAGTTGAGGAGGAGGATTTTAAATTCTATTCTAAATTTTACAGGGAGCCAGTGCAGAGAAGCTAGTACAGGAGAGATGTGATCTCTTTTTCATCTATATGCTGAGTTTGTGCTGTTCCAGACCTTAAAACGGGTCCAACATCTCACAGTGAAACACATCAACCAAGACAGCAAATTCAAATGTTAGGACCAAATTAATGTGACTGCTGCTATAAGAAGCTTTAAACAACCAATCTTACTATCAACAAATCCTACATAAAAAAAAAAATGTCTTACTTTACCTCACAAATAGGAAACATTTTTTGAGGGTCAGCAGTTTCCTAAAACAGTTGCTTGCTGTTGTATCTATCAAACAAAAAGGGACTGTTGGGGACTAGTTCCAACAGTGGATTAATCCACATTTGGTGCTTTAGTTGTTATAACTGAACCAATAAATAGGACTCAAGACTCAAGAGCTCAGTAAAACAGTTCTTTAGTTGCAGTCTGCTACACAGACATCCATCTGATCAGGACAAGTTCAAAAAGGGTAAAGGCAGAGTTAAAAGGTAAACAGTGATCCAAAAAAACAAGGAACACTTGACTCAAAGGATGAAAACAAACGGGAACGAACAACTACGACTTCAACTTACTCAACATTAATATCTTTCCTCTTTCAGTTTCTCTTCCTTTTCCAGACTGGTTGCAGGAGGTGAGTGTTCCCATCGTGTCCAACAGTCAGTGTGCCACTGCGTACAACGAAATCAGTAATATCACCAACAACATGATGTGTGCCGGTCTGGACGAGGGAGGAAAGGACTCCTGCCAGGTGAGTCAGTAAAACCCTGTTATAAACAGAGCTTTCACTGGTTCCAAGTGTTTCTCCCCATTCTGAATCTTCAACATCAAAACAAAAAAAAATGTAATTCATCAGAAGAGTCTTTGTTAGTGTTGTTATAGTTACTGATGGTCTGTACGTCTGTAGGCGCCAGCGAGCAGCCAAGACACAGCGGACAACCCCAGTTAGCTTAGCTACAGTTAGCTACCTGGATGCCCCTGCCTCGCATCACTCTTGGCTAGTAGAAAGCTATCGTTAGCTTTGTACCATTATAATACATTTTAGTATCATCACATTAGCTGATGAAGTCATTTAGCAAGATAACGTTATCCAGCTAACAGCACAATCAGACAATATGTTCCACTAGCTTAGCATTAATGTTAGCTTTGTGTTGGACTCTGTGTTGTGGACTCTGTGTTGTAAATGGTAAATGGACCTGTACTTGTATAGCGCCTTTCTAGTCTTCCGACCACTCAAAGCACTTTTACACTACGTGCCACATTCACCCTTTCACACACATTCACTCAGTGATGGCAAAGTCCATTGAACAGAAAGTAACATTCATACACACCGATGCACGGCATCGGGAGCAATTCGGGGTTCAGTATCTTGCTCAAGGATACTTCAACATGTGGCACCAGGAGCGGGGGATCGAACCCACAACCTTCCGATTGAGGAACGACCTGCTCTGCCTCTGAGCCACAGCCGCCCTGTTGTGCTGTGTTGTGGACTCTGTGTTGGACTCTGTGTTGTGGACTCTGTGTTGGACTCTGTGTTGTGGACTCTGTGTTGTGGACTCTGTGTTGGACTCTGTGTTGTGTACTCTGTGTTGTTGGACTCTGTGTTGTTGGACTCTGTGTTGTGGACTCTGTGTTGTGGACTCTGTGTTGCCCACTGTTGGTACTCGGGAGCATAAAGGTCACAACCTTTGACCCTCATCCTACATAGAGACACATAGAGACACATAGAGATCAGTCCACAGACAGCAGAGGGACAAAGCTCCACTACAACCTGTTCACTGTCTGCTCACACACACTGATTAAAGTTACTGATTGTTGGTGATATAACTGATATGTTTGGTTGGTGCAGGGGGATTCAGGCGGCCCGTTGGTGACTAAGACCGTCTCTAAGTGGGTCCAGGCTGGAGTGGTGAGTTTTGGAAAAGGCTGTGCTCATCCCAAATACCCTGGAGTCTACACCCGAGTGTCCCAGTACCAGTCCTGGATCAACAGCCACATCACCAACAACCAGCCAGGCTTCGTCACCTTCTCTGGAGCTGCTCGCCTGGCTTACGTCCCAGTGTCTCTGGTGCTGTCCATCTTCTCTCTGTTCATTTGAAAGCTAATGATTTTTTTAAATAATTAATAATAATTTTCTTTATTATTTATTATATCATTAGTTCCCATGAAACTGTTATTTGCATCCTCATATTTACGTGTTTCCTGTAAGAACTTGCTGATATTGATGCCGACAGAGGACAGGTTGAAGACAGGGACTACAGTACCAAGGTGGTTTAGCTCCTGGCAGCCGAGGGTTGAGCAGCTAGCTGCAAGGCCAACCTGGCTAACTTGCTAACGTTGGCCATCAGGAAATTCTGTTGCACAATGTCCCGTACTGTAGTTCCCAGAGAAAACTGATCATTTCTGGTTCCAACTTTTCAGTTTTTGTTTGTTTTTGGCACAAATGCACCAAACGATTCAAAAGTAGGTGCTTGAACCTGAACAGAGACAGTTGCCATCAGACTGTCTGCCAGTCAGAGTATCTACGAACTGGGTCACATACTGGAGTAAAAACATTTTGACTTACCTTTGTTTATGTTTGTTTGATCGATACAGTTTGGTTCATGAATGTATTAATTATCCAGTCTGATGTATCACAGCATTTATAACCAGAGATCATTTTCATTTTAAACATAAAATATGTAAAAGGACAGTGAAACTATGTGGTTGGTTTTATTGACCCTGCAGGAACAGCAGTAAGACTCACAGACATATTCCCCACAGATACACAGGAACACATGATATTGATCTGCTGTTAAACATTCAAACAAGTCTAATTTTAAATCAATGTTAGTTTGTTTTAATATCAACAGATTTCATGGGAACTTTAAAATTGCTTTAGTTAATTAATTAGTTTCTTGAAGATGCTATTTAAAACACTTTAGTGTTTAATATTAAAACTGTTTAATATGTTTAATTGGGGCTGAAAATAATGATTGTTTTTATTTTTTATTTCTTAACTAATAATTGTAAAACTTCTAATACCTTATTGATTCAACCAACAGAGATTATTCTCATGTCAGGGTTAGAGTTTCTCTTACACATTATAATCCAAGAAACAAATCAATAATCAATAATCAGTAAACCAAGCTGTGCATAAAGGTAGAAATGTAATCAAATGACTCAAACAATAAACTGTCAGTAACACATGAGCTCTGTCTGCTGCATTACTTTATTTCTACTCAGATTCATTCATTAATGTGACAACCTGCAGATGTTCAGGTAACAGGAAACAGCGTCGGCGCTCTGCTGAATGAACTGAAGCTCTCAGTCCAACAGGAACGAAGTGGTGACGTAGTAAAGCCTCCGGCTTCATGTGATTGGCTGTCTGGGACATGTGTGACATTAATGAGAGGAGGAGGAGGAGGAAGAGGAGGAAGAGCCAGGCGGCGTCAGGAAGGCAACATGGTCTGACCCTGATAATGTTTTAGAGTTAGCAAAGTACTGACCGAAATAAAAGAGGAAGAAAGAGGAAAGAAAGCACACATTAAGTGAAGTTGAGACACATTCTGAGTCGACAGTGACAGATTGTAAACCTGCGTTCTCTCTCATGGCCAGCAGGGGGCGCTCCATCAGTGTGTGTGTGTGTGTGTGTGTGTCTGTGAGTGTGTGTGTGTGTCTGTGTGTGTGTGTGAGTGTGTGTGCGTGTGTGTGTCTGTGTGTGTGTGTGTGTGTGTGTGTGTGTGTGAGTGTGTGAGTGTGTGTGTGTGTGAGTGTGTGTGTGTCTGTGTGTGTGTGAGTGTGAGTGTGTGTGAGTGTGTGTGTGTGTGTGTGTGTGTGTGCGTGTGTGTGTGTGTGTGTGAGTGACAGTGTGTGTGTGTGTGTGTGTGTGCGTGCGTGTGCGTGTGCGTGTGCGTGTGCGTGTGCGTGCGTGTGTGTGTGAGTGTGTGTGTGTGTGTGTGTGTGTGTGCGTGCGTGCGTGCGTGCGTGCGTGTGTGTGTCTGAGTGTGTGTGAGGTTGCTGTGGTTACAGAGTTGTGAACACAGTGTGACCGTTGCAACTTTTCTGTTGAGTCTGAAGTTTGTTTTTCTCTTTTACACACACACTATATCACACACACACACACACAAACACACAGAGACGCACATACACACACATACACACACAAACGAACAGACGCACACAAACGCACACCCACACACACACACACACACACACATACACACACAAATACACACAGACGCACGCACACAGACACACACACTATTTTTCTCAACACCTTTCAAACTTATTTATTTAACAAAGATTTTCTCTTAAATTATGAAAATTACCAAAATATTTTTAATGATTTTGATGAATTTCAACTTGTTAGTTTTTCCAAAGTGAATTAATATTAATATTATTACGACTTTATTCTCACTTTTATTGAATTATGACTTATACTATAAATATATGAAACATTTTTATTAGTTTCTCTCAGAACATTTGAACATTTCTTTCACTTTATTAAACCTTGTTTTCTCGAGGTTGACGGTGACGAGCAGAGATGATGAAGACGATGAAGATGATGAAGATGAAGGTGAGCTGACTGTTCAGGAAGTCGCAGTGCAGACACACACAGCGGTTACACAGTGTAACAAGGTGTGATTACACTCTTTAAAAACAGCCACTGAGCAGTTTATCACTCTTTACTGATCTGGAGTCAGCACAGCGAGTCGCTCTTCATCATCGGTTTCATCATCCACTCTCTGAAGGTAAAACAACTTTAAATTAATAATTTCATCAACTGTTACACAGAAAACATTTAATCTAACTCTGTAATCAATAATTAGATTGTTGGATGAATCAAATATTTAACGTTGGCTGAAGAAAGTCGATATTTATTATTTTAAAGACAATTTATTGATTCTCTCCATTATCACCAGGAAACAGAATTTATTCAAAATTAATAAAAATGAATAAAAATTAATAACAAATAAATACATTTTGAACTAGAAAAGTTAAATTTAAAAGTTAAAATTTGTAATCTCATAATTTTGATTAAACATACATTATACTGTATATATTATTAAATATATTTTTATTTTTGTTATTGTTATTTTTAAATATTATGTATGTAATAATATAGTTTTAATTAAAAAAAATAAACAAAAAGGTTTTGTAAAAATGTTATTTATTTTGACAGACCAGGAATATTTAAATTTCAATTCAATTTTATTTGTATAGCGCCAATTCATAACAGAAGTTATCTCAGGACACTTATAAACTGTTAAAATATGAATAAATATTACAACTTTTTCTCGACTTCCTCTTCAAACTTTATATTTGTACATAAAAGCTCCTTTATATAGTTTTTTATCTTTTTATCTTTATTTATATTTATATACACTTCATTGTGATTCTTCTGCACCAACCTACCAAAGCAGATTCCTTGTATGTGAAAACTTACTTAATAATAAAATAATAATTATTATTATTATTACTATAATAATAGCAAAAATAATAAACCTGATTCTGATTCTGAAATACAACATTTTTTCCTTACAATACTTCAGTCTCATAATATCATTATAACTTTATTTTTTCTAACTTTCTCTAAATATTACGATGTTTTTCTGTAAATGTTGTAAATTCTTTTTCTCAGAAAATTCCAGTTTTTTTGAGTTTCCAACATTTTTAGGTAAAAGTTAAAATGCTGTTTGTCCTTTTTCATCAGTATGTATATACTTATTGTGTATTATATTTACTGTTTATTGTATTTACTGTGTATTATATTTACTGTTTATTATATTTAATTTGTATTATATTTACTGTTGGTTATATTTACTGTTTATTATTTTGTACCCCGGGGCGGCTGTAACTGTTGAATTAGTCAAACACTTGTTTAATTGATTATAATGATCATGTGACAGAAACAGCAGGAAACATGAAGAAACTCTTATATTTGATGTTTTTATATTATCTGCATGAATCATTCAGCAAAACACATTTTATTTTCCTCAGATCTGTTCAGTAAACCTTTTACTATCTATCTATCTAGAGTAAAACATAAAAAACAATCATTTTAACAGCAACGTAATTTCACCTTCTTCCTTTCAGTTCCACGATGCTCTCCTCCTCCCTTCTCTTCCTCCTCTTCCTCCTTTTCCTCTTCCTCCCTCGGTCTCTGGGTTGTCAGACCAGCTCCTTCACTGAGTGCCAGCAGGTCCCGTTCGTGCCGGGTCACAACCTGGCCGGTGAGGGCTTCGACGTGGTGAAGATGCAGACCAGCGGAGCCAGCGTGGTCGACGTCAAGAACTTCATGGTGGGAGGAGCCCAGGGGAACTGCACCGTGTGCCTGAACCGCCTCCTCAACCAGGTAGAGCCCTAATTTTACTTATTTCATAACTAATGCTTATCACTGTAAAGTGTATAATAGGGTCATTATATAAGAGATAATGCCCAACGAGGTGTCCACTTTATATAATATTAAAGTCCAGGTGAAATGATTAATGTCATTTTAACCCTTTAAGATCACATCAGTTATGTCTGACAGAAAATGCACAAAAACTCAGTTTCTTTGTGTTTTTATATTAAAATCCAATCATTGTGTCTTCCTGTAAAACTAAATGTGACACGTGCTTACGTGAACTTACTGGTTTCAACCAATAATATAACGGTAGGCAGAGCTAACATTACTGTAGTGGCGTCCCCAACAGGTGGAAAAGCTGCTGTGAAGCTCAGTGTGGTCAAGCCAGCCTCTAGTGGACGTTAGAGGAACTGCAGGGTTTGTTATTTCAGTGTAGGATTTATTTGCAGCCACAGAGGTTGCTGCTTGCTTTGAACTAGACTTCTGGATAAGCTAGCTAAATGCTCACAAATGCTACCAAATATTAGTAATAATTAGTAAGATTATTTGTGCACCCAGGAGCCAATCAAATGCTTTCAGTTGCCAAACGTCAACTCTGTAACTGATACAGATCCTGTATCCCTGATGATGTTTCCTGTTCTTCCTCCTTAAACAGACCCAGAAACTCCCAGTGTCAGTCGTGGACTGGAGGATCAAGGTCAGTTCATCAACTAACATCAATTAATATTAATAAAAGGAGGATTTTGATGTTGTAAAAGTACCAAAACAACAATGTAGAAGTAAAAGTAATAAAATTGTAGTACAGTGCTTCAGTAAATGTACTTGAACTTGTGGAGCTTTGTGATGTCAATGACAGCATTACCCAGCATCCTCTCTGTCCTCAGGTGCAGTGCCGGCGCAGTCTGAGCAGTAAGATCTTCGAGTCCAGCCAGTCCGTCATGAAAGAGACAAGTTCATCTCTCGGAACCAGCTGGAAGGTGTGAGGTCTCTGTACTGACTTTATTAACTCCAGCTGATGAGGCTTTATGTGTGACGCTGTTCACTCTACCTGTTGTGATGTTACTCAGGTGGGCCTCAGTATCCCAGGACTCGGTGGGTTTGCAGTTGGAGGATCGCACTCCGTCTCATCGAAGTTTGCAGAGAGCCGCAGCAGGAAGGACAAGTTCTCCTTCACCACCCACAACGTCAACTGCAAATACTACACGTAAGTACACTCCACAATCTCTGTCAGAGGACGACCTCTCCTTTTTTACCAAAATGTTTGAGGGCTGCATCGGAGACTAATCTCAAACTAGTTCTTTGCATTGTGACAACCAAAGAACTGGCTGTCGGCCAGGAAAACTGGTACCAGTGCGCCGCCAACTCCTTGCTGGTCTAGAATCAAGAACCAATTACAACAGGTCCTGGGGGCGCCTTGTGGCCAGCCAGCTATGTAATTATTTGTAGTTTAGCACATAGTATATGTTATAAACACAACACTGAGCTAGCTGGTTAGCTAGCTGTTGATCAGCAGAACCAGCACTAGGTTTTTGTAGGTGGAAAGGAGGCAAGAGTGGGCAATGTAGGCACCAAGTTTTTCTGACAAGGGAGAAGAATGTGTGGAATCACACATGTCTGGATCTGTTTTATCTGACGATGTTTCAGAGGTTTAGTACTAAATCAGTGAAGAAAAGACTATCTTTAGACTTTATCTAAACTTCTTCTTTACCTGCAGCTTCCGTCTTCACTCCAGCCCTCCGCTGAGTAAAGAGTTTGAGGTTTCCCTGAAGAACCTTCCCTCCACCTACGACCACAAGAACACTTCGGCTTTCCAACAGTTCATCTCCGTCTACGGGACCCACTTCATCCGCAGGGTTCACCTCGGGGGTCGAGTTCACTCCATCACCGCCATCCGGACCTGCGAGGCCTCCATGAGCAAGTTGTCCGTCCACACTGTAAGCAACTGCCTGTCTGTCGAGGCCAGCGCAGTCATCAAAGGTGTCAAAGTCAGTGCAGCCTCCGGCTTCTGCCACGCCAAGAGCAAGAGCCTAAAATCTGGAGCGACATTCAGCCAGGCCTTCTCCGACCGGACCACCGAGGTTATGGGAGGGGACGGGGATATGGGGGACATCCTATTCAACCCTAATGGTGCTGCAGGATATAAGAAGTGGCTCCTTTCCCTGAGGAGGGTCCCAGGTGTGGTTTCCTACCAGATCAGCCCCCTGCACATGCTGGTGAGGAACACATTAAGGGCAAGCTACTGACAAGCAAATTATAATAAGTTACAGAGGACAGGGCAGATACAGGACAGACATCAAAGCTGTAGATACAGGTCAGAGGTCTGTCCTGTTTATTTGATTAATGTAATAGTAACAATAATTATATTATTAATATTAACTTTTTTCTAATAAGTCCTATAATTTGACATAAATTCTCTTTAAGAGACAGTTGATAAAGATTTGTCCTTTTGACCATTACACTAAGTTGCAGAAGACATTACAGATACAGGATAGAGGTCAGAGCTGTAGATACAGGGCATGGGTCAGTACTGTAAATGCATGTCAGAGGTCTGTGCTGTCTATTTGATTTATATACTAGTAAAAATAATGATATTAGCCATATTACCTTTTATTTCTCATTTTTTCATTTAAGTCTAATAATTTGACACTAATTATTATAAATATAGATTTGATTGAGTCCATTTGACAATAATACCTAATTTACTGCTGTAGATACAGGTCAGATGTTAGTGCTATAGATACAGCGCATAGGTTAGTGCAGATAAGAGTGCAGGTTAAAGTTTTTAATTGCTCATTCTTTCAACCAATTACGGATGAGGTGGAGAGATATCTTCAGATGTGAGTCACAAACACTTCTTGTTGAAACTGTGCCTGCGAGCAGTAAAAGTGGTGGCAGCATCAGATGCAGCAATTACACACATTTTCTTCAGGACATGAAAATATTAAACGTATTATTTACAGTTGTTCTCATTACCATGATTTGTTGTGTATTCATTCATTCATTCTAAGTAAACCCTTTGTGTGTATTCTTTAGGTGACAGACAACCCCGTCCTGAAGTCCAGCCTACGTAACGCCATCAGCGACTACATCCGCAAAAGTGCCAAGCCGCTCCGATGCCCAGCCAGCTGCAAGATCGGCCACCAGAACAAAAACTGTGCCTGTCAGTGTCAAGGACACCGCATGGTCAGCTCCAACTGCTGCCCTGCCGAGCCCGGCGTGGCCCGGATGAACGTGACAGTGATCCGAGCCGAGGGGCTGTGGGGAGACTACTTCTCCAAGACGGACGGATACGTTAAGGTCTTTTACGGTACACAAGGAGCCACGACACCGGTGATCTGGAACAACGACTTCCCCTCCTGGAACTACCTAATTCGATTTGAAACCGTCAACCTCCGTCACAGAAAGTGAGTAAATTTAATCTCCACTAATCTGACTTTAAATGATCTTAGATAAAATGTCTACGACTGATATCAGACCCGACACAACCTGACAGAAGTGAGGCATTCAGGAACTAAATACAGCGTGAGGTGTTAAAAGTTCCAGATTTAAGAGTCTGAAACATTTTATTTTTCGGGTTGTAACGTAGCAACTGTCTCTGTTGCCTGATTTATATTCAATTCAATTAAATTCAATTTTATTTGTATAGCGCCAATTCGTAACAGAAGTTATCTCAGGACACTTTTCAAATAGAGCAGGTCTAGACCGAACGCTTTATAACATTATTTACAGAGACCCAACAGTACCACCATGAGCAAGACCTTGGAGACAAGGGCAAGGAAACACTGCCTGTTAAAAGGCAGAAACCTAGGACAGATCCTCCGGCTCTAGGTGGGTGGTCGTCTGTCTCGACCAGTTGGGGTGAGAGAGAGAGAGACAGACAGAGAGAGAGACAGACAGACAGACAGACAGACAGGTGCACAGCAACAACAGTATTGGCAATGGCAATCTAGCAGGACCATGGCAGGAAGCTCCACCAGGATCGATAAGAACCTGGGAGACGAGACAGCACAAGAACTCCGGGGAAGAAGTGAAGTTAGTAACATGCATTAATGGGACATGAATGAGTGCAGAAAGAGAGAGGAAGAGAGGAGCTCAGTGCACCATGGGAAATCCCCCGATAGTCTAGGCCTATAGCAGCATAACTAAGGGATGGTTCAGGACTCACCTGATCCAGCCCTAACTATAAGCTTTATCAAAGAGGAATGTCTTAAGCCTACTCTTGAATGTGGTGAGGGTGTCTGCCTCCCGAACCACAACTGGAAGCTGGTTCCACAGGAGAGGAGCTTGGTAACTGAAGGCTCTGGCTCCTGTTCTACTTTTAGAGACTATAGGAACCACAAGTAGCCCAGCATTCAGAGAACGTAGTGTTCTAGTGGGGTAATAGGGTACTATGAGCTCTTTAAGATATGAAGGGGCCTGACCATGAAGAGCTTTATAGGTGAGGAGGAGGATTTTAAATTCTATTCTACATTTTACAGGGAGCCAATGCAGAGAAGCTAGTACAGGAGAGATGTGATCTCTTTTTCTAGTTCCTGTCGGTACTCGTGCTGCAGCGTTTATGTGTTTCCTTAGCTTGTTCACTAATGTTAACGCTAGCAAAATACTATCTGAGTGGATATGTTAGCTTCCTCAGCTAACGTGATCCATGATACTAACATATGTAGTTATTATGACATGTTGATTTTACCCAACAATTAATGATGCTATGCTACGCTAACAGACTGAGGCTAAAGCTAATTTGTACAGCTGGATACTAACTTATGTATTCTGACAGACAGTGTTGATTTTTGCCAACAATAAATTATGCTAATGGTACAAAGCTAACGGTAGCTTTCTACTAGCGAGGCAGGGGCATCCAGCCAGCTAACTGTTGGTCGACGCCCAGGATGTTCAGAGGTCACCTTCTCTTTTGTTGATTTTGTGGATGTATTTCCTCCACAGACCGATCCGTTTCGAGGTTTGGGACCGGGACAACCGCTGGAACGACGACCTGCTGGGGAGAGTGTACCTCATCCCCACGATGGGCCGCAACATCAACAAGAAGTTCAAGTTGAAACACGGCTCGCTGTATGTCCGGATGTCTGCAGTGTGCGCTCCCAGCCTGCAGGGGTCGCTGTGCGAGCAGTACGCCGCCTCGCCCAACTACGAGGACGTGATGGGATACACGAAGGAGGACCGGGAGGACTATTGGGGTTCAGGGAAGTCGGGTCTTGAGGCTAATGGGGCTCATGGCGGCTCCATCCTTTGAATTCTCTCTTTATGCTGTTTTAGACGTATTTGCTGTCGATGTTTGAGGAGTTAAGAAAGTTCTCCTGCTAGCTCTCCTCTCAATACTCCTTCATGCTTGTTAGCATTATGCTGTCCTAACGTCAGTCAGCCCGACTCTTAGTGAACATTAAGGTGTAAACCGCAATGTGGATTAATGTGCATTGTCCCAGGTAGGCAGGTAAACAAACAAACAAACAAACAAACAAACAAACAAACAAATAATTAAAAGCTGTCTGACCTGTCCATATCAACAGGAACTAGAAAACACCTCCTTTAAAAAATCAAACATTTTTGAGAGTTATTGATTGAGAAGAAAGTTTAATGACTTTATGAATCGCAGTCTATGACAGATTGTTAATTATTGAATTATTTGGAGCTTCTTGTAAATTTGCAGAATGTTACACATGAATTTATTTATTTCTTTATGTTAAGAACGTGTCTGTCTGTCCCAGCGTGTTCGCTATCAGACGGTGGTACAACCTCCTCTCCTCTGTGCTCTCTGGCATTGATGACTTTCTTTGTGATGACAGATTTCCACAGAGGAAGTTCCTGCTCATAAAGTTCAGTTATAAAATGTGATGAAAAAAAAGATTCTGTAAGTTATTATAATGAGAAACTTTCTCACAATATGTCAAAATATTCATATTTTTGTATCAATCCAATTAATTCAGTTTGAAACAGACGCTTGAACCATTATATTAACTTAACATAAATTAATCGTCCAAAAGGTTTAATTCACTCGTTCACATTAATTAAAAGTGTTGAAGTAACTGAGTTGTTTTCAGTGAACTTTTTAAATTATTGATGATATTATATATATTCCAGTTTGTTGCATTAACTCATTTTCTTTATGTTCACTTTATATCGTTAAAAATATAAGCCCCAAAATTAATTGGCTTAATTATCGATTAACTGTAATGAGTTTTTTATGTGAGTGATTGACTGATTAGTTTTAGGTTCAATTAACTGAGTTAAAGTAACTGATCAGGTTTTACAGTGTGAAGTATCAATGACAGAGGATATTGATCGATACACTGATCGTAGTATTAGTGCTTGTTAGTAGCAGTTGTAGAAGTGTGTGTGTGTGTGTGTGTGTAGGTGTTACACAGTCAGCAGTGTGTGTTTTTGCTGTTACAGTTAAAGGACTGCTGACGATGAACAACTGAACACACACAGTAACACACACACACACACACACACACACACACAGTCAGTTATTCACTGCTGATGCAGAAACATGTTTGAAGAACTTCCTCGTATCAGACGCACAATGTGAAAATAACTTATTAAATATAATAAATATAATAATAATGAAACGAGGATGAACTCATTACAATTTGGGGCTCAAAGGTCAAAGGTCATGTTTGTCTCAAAATGACGGCAAGCAACACTTTACTTTTTAGGTATTTTTTGGGGCTTTTATTTCCTTTATTATAGAGACAGCTGAAGACAGACAGGAGGGCAGAGAGAGAGGGGGTGACACGCAGCAAAGGGCCACGGGTCGGAATCGAACCCTGAACCGCTGCAGCAAAACTCATCTCTGATCAATATTCACAGGAAATAATCAAACTTCCTGCAGTGATTGAGTTCACTGTTTGGGTTTATTGATCAGTTGATCAGCTGTTGTTATTGATATTGATCAATATGAAACATACAGTAAATACTGTATATTTCATAATAATACTATATTAAATAACAGGAAGTGTCTGAATGGCGCAACCTGCTGGCAGGAAGCTGACGTTTGTGTGTTTTACAGATTTTACATTTAAACCTGAAAAACACGTAAAAGGTCAGAGGTCAAATCCACTGGATTGTCCTCCGGTTACCATGGATACGGGAGCAGGAACAGATTTATTTTGTTTTGTTTTAAAAGTTGTTTGAGGGGGAAAAGTAAATAAATCAAATAATATTAATACATTAATATTAATTTCAGGTGTTTGTGATGTTTGTTGGTACGCAGTGATGTCACCAGGACGCCGAGGTCATGAGCTTGTTTTTTGGTCTTTTTAATTTTTTCATTCTTGTAAATTTCTTAAAATCGAATTCTCTGCAGCTCGTTTCATTAAGTGGAATCTTTTTCCCGCTCTTTGCTCTCGTTAGAGACCCAATGGCGTCATAGCTTTAGGTTTGAGTTATTTCCTGTTTTATGTTGAAAGAGTCTTTCTTCACTTCCTTTGATTGTTTCTGTAATAATATTTGATCCATTAGTGGAGATTTGTTAAAGTTGCTTGAAGCTTTGTAGCATTTATAAATGAGTATAAAGGAAACATTTAGTGATTAAAGATTCATTGTGAGGATTACTGAACAACCTGCTGCTTCCTGTTTGTTAGCTGAATAAAGTAAAAAAACTTCACAGTTTCCCCTGTGTGGAGTTAATGTGACTTCCTGTGTGAATCAACCATGTGCTCAGTGGTTCTGTGACTTATGGATTATGGGTTATGGATTATTGTTGCTGGACTTCCTGTTCTGGTTCTGGCTGCTCGACATTCACGTAAGCTTTGTCCCTTTCTTTCAATACGTCACTGATCAACGTGCTGATTCCATCTCTGACTAACACAAACATATTGCTGTGCATTAATCCAGACGATGAGCTGTAAATTGAAGCTCTGGATGTAAACAGGAGGAAATAAAAAGAGACAAATCGTTTGTTCTGGGATAATAATTCAGCGTCCTGTTAAACCTGCAAGGACGAAGCAGACGAGGTGAATTATTGATGAAACAAGATCTCAGATTTCCTTCAAGATCAGTTCAAAGACCACCAGGAAAAAAAGAGCAAGACAGTCTCTGTTGCTCCTCCTCCTCTTCCTCCTCCTCTTCCTCCTCTTCCTCCTGGGAGGATGAAGATGAGAGGTTTCCAGGAGTGTTTCCTCCGGGCATCCAGCCAACCTGCCGCAGCCTCAAAGTTCATCTCCGCCATCAGAACTCCATTTTAGAGTCTCCAGGTTGAGTTTAATAGCAGCCTCATATATCACACACACACACACACACACACACACACACACAATCTCGTATCTCTACACAGGAAGTCAGGAGGGATTTTTCAGATTAAAAGTTCTTGTCAGATGAGTCTGGGTCAAACAGCATACTGTAAAAAAATAAGTAACTACAAAATATAGATAAAGATATTTACAGTGTAAACAATGATCTATAAATCCAGGTGAACTCTGCTATAATACAATAATCAGACTTTACAGCAGAGTGCTGTTATTATTGGATTGTTATTATTTGAATGTGAATGTTAAAAGTTATAGAAGTGTAATAAAGTCATTATCTGTGAGATTACAGTAATTATTGCTGTTTACACTGATAACAACTGTATTTGGACAGTTTACCAATGCTTATACACTGATAAACAACATTTATTCAATATTTACTGTTAATGTCACTGATTTTATATCAGTTTATAAACATATTGACACTATTCAACTTGAATTGAACAGTTTCATCTATTAGATAAACAGTAAATATAAATTATAGATTAGCAAATATATTTTAATCTTAAATAAGCAGTAATTTATGATTATTTAAAGTTACAGATGTTCCACATTATTTAACATTAAACATGTAACAGGATAGGGATTCACAGGATATTTTTGTAATTTGATATTTCAATTAATCTAAAAAATAATGGAAGAAATCAGTAAAATAAACAGGAAAACCCAGTAAAAATGTTTTATAGTGCAACCTGAAGACGTTACCTGAGTTCAGGTCCAGGATCAGGATCAAGTCCAAGATCAGGTCCAGGTCCAGGTCCAGTCTATGTTTTAAGGTTCTTTCACATGTCACAGCAGTAACCATTAGATTCATTGGCTGTGATTCTGGTCATCAATTAATTGTAAATATTCTTTATTTTACGTCTGCAGCTGTGACAGGAAATCAGTTGTTAATATAAAGAAAATGTTAATAACTTAAGTTATTGTTATTTATTCAGATAAATTCTGTTACAGTTTAAATATGTTTGTAGAAATGTTGCATATGAGTGTAAAATATTTACTATATTGACTAGTTTTAAGTTCAGTTACCTGTATGAAGTTGGTACAACTAACTTACCCAAGTTACCTTAATAATAAATACTCGAGTACTTTTTACAGTTGGTTACAGTTTCATGTTTTCATGCTTTAATTGAGTTAATAAACTTATAAGCAGTTTAATGAAATCTTATTCAACAAAATGAGATGGACTAACTCATCAGGTTTTAATAACTTCATGCACTGAAAATGTTCCTTAAATAAAATCTATAATGAGGAACACAAACATATAAAGTTAATAAAATATGATGTTCCTTCATTATGTCAGAGTATAATGTTTAAATATTCTGTATCAGGTTAAAGTCTATTATCACTGTACAAACACAACTTTATTATCACTGTACAAACACAACTTTATTAACACTGTACAAACACAACTTTATTAACACTGTACAAACACACAACTTTATTATCACTGTACAAACACACAACTTTATTATCACTGTACAAAACACAACTTTATTAACACTGTACAAACACACAACTTTATTAACACTGTACAAAATACAACTTTATTAACACTGTACAAACACACAACTTTATTAACACTGTACAAACACACAACTTTATTATCACTGTACAAACACACAACTTTATTACATGTACAAACACACAACTTTATTAACAAAAAATTAAAAAAAATTATCACTGTACAAACACACAACTTTATTATCACTGTACAAACACAACTTTATTATCACTGTACAAACACAACTTTATTAACACTGTACAAACAATTCAATTCAATTCAATTCAATGTTATTTGTATAGCGCCAATTCATAACAGAAGTTATCTCAGGACACTTTTCAAATAGAGCAGGTCTAGACCGAACTCTTTATAACATTATTTACAGAGACCCAACAGTACCACCATGAGCAAGCACTTGGCGACAAGGGCAAGGGAAACACTGCCTGTTAAAAGGCAGAAACCTAGGACAGATCCTCCGGCTCTAGGTGGGTGGTCGTCTGTCTCGACCAGTTGGGGTGAGAGAGAGAGAGAGAGAGAGAGAGAGAGAGAGAGAGAGAGAGAGAGAGAGAGACAGACAGACAGACAGACAGGTGCACAACAACAACAGTATTGGCAATGGCAGTCAAGCAGGACCATGGCAGGAGGCTCCACCAGGATCCATGAGAACCTGCGAGATGAGAAAGCACAAGAACTCCGGGGAAGAAGTGAAGTTAGTAACATGCATTAATGGGACATGAATGAGTGCAGAAAGAGAGAGGAAGGGAGGAGCTCAGTGCACCATGGGAAATCCCCCGATAGTCTAGGCCTATAGCAGCATAACTAAGGGATGGTTCAGGACTCACCTGATCCAGCCCTAACTATAAGCTTTATCAAAGAGGAATGTCTTAAGCCTACTCTTGAATGTGGAGAGGGTGTCTGCCTCCCGAACCACAACTGGAAGCTGGTTCCACAGGAGAGGAGCTTGGTAACTGAAGGCTCTGGCTCCTGTTCTACTTTTAGAGACTATAGGAACCACAAGTAGCCCAGCATTCAGAGAACGTAGTGTTCTAGTGGGGTAATAGGGTACTATGAGCTCTTTAAGATATGAAGGGGCCTGACCATGAAGAGCTTTATAGGTGAGGAGGAGGATTTTAAATTCAATTCTAAATTTTATAGGGAGCCAATGCAGAGTAGCTAGTACAGGAGAGATGTGATCTCTTTTTCTAGTTCCTGTCAGTACTCGTGCTGCAGCGTTCTGAATTAATTGGAGCGTTTTAATGGACTTATTGGGGCAACCTGATAATAAAGAGTTGCAGTAATCCAGCCTTGAAGTAACAAATGCATGGATTAGTTTTTCTGCATCTGTCTGTGATAGTATGTGTCAAATTTTTCTAATATTACGTAAATGAAAGAAGGCAGTCCTAGAGGTTTGCTTTATGTGGGAGTTAAATGACAAATCCTGATCAAAGATAACTCCAAGATTCCTGACAGTGGTGCTAGAGGCCAAGTTAATGCCATCTAGAGTGACTATATCTTTAGACAATGAGTCTCTAAGGTTTTTGGGGCCAAGAACAAGAATTTCGTTTTTTTCTGAGTTTAACATCAGAAAATTGCAGGTCATCCAGGATTTTATGTCCTTAAGACATGTTTGTAATTTAGATAATTGATTAATTTCATTGGGTTTGATTGATAGATATAACTGCGTATCATCTGCATAACAGTGAAAGTTAATGGAGTGATTCCTAATAATGTTGCCTAAAGGGATCATATATAAAGTAAATAGTATTGGTCCAAGTACAGAACCTTGTGGAACTCCATGACTAACTTTAGTATTTATGGAGGATTCATCGTTAACATGTACAAACTGAGAACGATCTGATAAATATGACTTAAACCAGCTTAGTGCGGTTCCTTTAATGCCAATTTGATGCTCAAGTCTCTCTAAAAGAATATTATGGTCAATGGTGTCAAATGCAGCACTAAGATCTAATAATACAAGTACAGAGAGAAGTCTATTGTCGGAAGCAATCAGAAGGTCATTATTAACTTTAACCAGAGCTGTCTCTGTGCTATGATGAACTCTAAATCCTGACTGAAAATCCTCAAATAAACTATTGTTATGTAGAAAGTCACACAACTCTTTGGCGACTATTTTCTCCAGAATCTTAGAGAGGAAGGGGAGGTTAGAAATCGGTCTATAGTTGGCTAAAACCCCTGGGTCAAGAGTGGGCTTTTTAAGAAGGGGTTTAATTACAGCTACTTTAAAGGACTGTGGTACATATCCTGATAATAAAGAAAGATTAATCATATCCAGTAAAGAAGTGCCAATTAAGGGAACAACTTCTTTAAGCAGCCTAGTTGGGATCGGGTCTAATAGACAGGTTGATGGCTTCGATGAAGAAATGATTGAAGTTAACTGATGAAGATCGATAGCAGAAAAACAGTCTAAATATATATCTAAGTTTACATTGACAGAAGTCCCTGAACTTGGAGAGCCACTGATAACTGTTGATGGCAGTTGGTGATTAATTTTTTCTCTAATAGTAATAATTTTATTATAGAAGAAGCTCATGAAGTCATTGCTACTTAAGTAGCAAACACACAACTTTATTAACACTGTACAAACATACAACTTTATTAACACTGTACAGACACACAACTTTATTATCACTGTACAAACACACAACTTTATTAACACTGTACAAACACAACTTTATTATCACTGTACAAACACAACTTTATTAACACTGTACAAACACACAACTTTATTAACACTGTACAAACACACAACTTTATTAACACTGTACAAACACAACTTTATTAACACTGTACAAACACACAACTTTATTAACACTGTACAAACACACAACTTTATTAACACTGTACAAACACAACTTTATTAACACTGTACAAACACAACTTTATTAACACTGTACAAACACAACTTTATTAACACTGTACAAACACAACTTTATTAACACTGTACAAACACACAACTTTATTATCACTGTACAGACACTCCATAAATATAGTGATCCTCTCTGTGCAGTAGAAACATTTGCACCTGAAAATGAAAAAAAACAGACCCAAAATTGCCCATTAATTTAAAATGGCCGTCTTCCTGTTGGGTCTGTGAGGCTTTCTTTGGTTTCTGTTTGTGTGTGTCTGTAAAATGTGCTGCCGGGGCTTCGCTGAAATCCAGACTCGGTCATCAGGAACGTCCTTACAGCGCAGCGTCCAAATATGAAGTCGATCTGACGAATTCCCTAACAGGAGTTTGAACGTCTGGAAAAGGCAAAAAATGGTAAAATTACATATTAAATTCAAAATGGCCGACTACCTGTTGGTTTGGGTCCTTAAAGCTTTTTTATACGTCTGTTTATCCATTAACCAACAGATACCTCTAAATGTATTATTATTATTGTTGTTGTTATTGTTATTATTGTTTTATTATTATTATTATTGTTATTATTGTTTTATTATTATTGTTATTATTGTTTTATTATTGTTGTTGTTGTTATTGTTGTTGTTATTATTATTGTTGTTTTATTATTATTCTTATTATTGTTATTATTATTTTATTATTATTGTTGTTGTTATTATTGTTGTTGTTTTATTATTATTCTTATTATTGTTATTATTATTTTATTATTATTGTTGTTGTTATTGTTGTTGTTATTGTTGTTGTTATTATTTATTATTGTTGTTGTTGTTATTATTATTATTTTATTGTTGTTATTATTTTATTGTTGTTATTATTGTTGTTGTTGTTATTTTTGTTATTATTATTATTGTTATATTATTGTTGTTATTGTTGTTGTTGTTATTATTTGATGTATCTGAAGGTAAATTTTATTTGAAGCTGTGTTTTTATATAAATATATTTGTACGTATAGAATCTGTTAATAGTTATTGATTATTTAACGGTGTAATGCTGTAACTCACACACATAAAGACACACAGGATGAACAGATTGTCCGTCCTCCCCCTCTCCCCCCTCTCTCCCCCTCTGATCCTCATTCACCTGAAACCAAACACACCTCCCTGCTGCTGCTGCGGAGAGAGAGAGAGAGAGAGAGAGGAGGGAGGAGGGAGGAGGAGGGGAGGACCAGGGTTGGGGAGAGGAGGAGGGGAGTGGAGGGGGAGGGGAGAGGCAGCAGCAGGTAGGGGTGGAGGGCGCCTGCGCACTGGCTCTCCATCCCCTCCGCATCGCCCCCCTCTCCTCCCTCCCTCCCTCTCTCTTTTTCTGCAGCATCAGTACCATACTCCCTCCCCCTCCCTCCCTCCCTCCCTGCTCTCTCTCTCTCTCTCTCCCTCCCTCCCCCCACTCTCTCTCTCGGTCGGTTTTCCTGCCGGGCTGCTGCTGCTTTGCGCGCTGCGGGGCCACACTGCGACCGCACCGAGGAGGAACAGGAGAAAGCCGCGGACCGAACGGGGGGCCAGCCTGAGCCAGAGCGGCGGGAGAGGCACGATTCCTTTTTTTAAAAAAAGAAGAAGAAAGAGCAGAGGAGGAGGGTTTACCGCCGCGCGGAGAACAGAAACCTCCGAAGAAGCAGCAGCAGAAGGCGGAGACGCGTCACAGCGCCGTTCCTCCCTCCATCGCTCCGGATCCGTTCATCCAGAGACAGAACCGACAGGAGCACCGACACAACGAAAAGAATCTGTTGGGGAATCTCGGAGCGCAAAACGACGAACGACGCGGTGTTGGAAACCTCCCCCCCTCCCCCCCCCGGACCAGGGCCGATTCTCCGTTTTCTAGCAGCTCGCGGACACCATGAAGGACCGTACGGCGGAACTGCGAAGCGTAAGCGCACATTTTCCTCTTTATTCATCCATGTTGGCCTCCATGATCCCCCTCTTCCTCCTCCTCCTCCTCCTCCTCCTCCCGCAGCCGCCGCAGCTCCACGGCCTCGCCGCCTCTCCTCCGAGCGGCGCGGCCGCGCGGTGCGGTGCGGGAGAGGAAGAGGTGCGATAAAAAAACGTGCAAATAAAAAAAAAAGAGCCCCATCAGTTTGGCGCCTCTGCGGAGGAGGTGCGGAGGCTGCGGGCTGTGCTGCGGCTCTCCATGCTGTGCATACAGAGTGCGGAGCTGCAGATGGAGGCTCCCCCTCTCTCTCTCTCTCTCTCTCTCTCTCTCTCTCTCTCTCTCTCGGGGTGCGGGGCTGTTGGGTTCGTTGTGCGGGGTTCGCCGGTTGGAGGTCACGGTTACAGCCCGGACATTGTGTCATTTAGTGTGTTTGTGCTGGGGGGGCCGATGTGAGAGCGGTTAGACGCAGAGGCCCAGAGAGGCTCCCCGCGCGCTCCTGCAGCGCTGCATGCATGATGGGAAAACGGGTTCGGCTCTAAAATAAAGAAATAAAGAAATAAAGAAATAAAACGCTCCCATCCATCCATCCATGCTAATGTGATCCTTCATGTCCATGCGTGCGTGCCTGGATGACCTGATGGAGGAAGAGGAGGAGGAAGAGGAGAGCTGACTCTCAAATGAGCCGCGAACCAAAATGCAGTGATTTTTTTTTTTCCCCTCGAGGCCGCATCCTGCAGCCAGCGCGCGCCTCCTCCCTGACTGAGCCGCGGGAATGTGGGAGCATCAAGTCCCGATCAGGAGGATCGATCCGGATGGATCAGGATGCGGCTTTATCCGCTCCTTTCTCTCTGTCCGCGTGTTTCTGCCGCTCCTCCTGTACGGGCTGATAGTGGAGGGGGGGGGGGTGTCCCTCCATTGTACTAAAGCCTCACCCATTTTATGAGCGTGCGGCTCCGCAGCGGGTGAGACTGATGGACGCTTTGACGCGTGCGGCAGCCAGGCGGTGCGGTGCGGTGCGGTGCGAACAGCTGATGCTGGCGGTTTGGGCGGATTGGGAGGAGGAGGGGGAAGACGGGGGGGGGATTTTTGGTGTGGGGGGTGAGGAGGGGAGGGGCTGGGGGGGGGGGATGTCACATCAGCTGCTCAAACTGCAGCAGCTCCAGGAGCCTCCACCACCCGGGTTCAACCGGGTTCTCCTTCAGAGAGACTGAAACACTCATCCATCTATCACTATCTATCTATCACTCTATCTATCTATCAATTATTCTATCACTCTATCTATCTATCTATCTATCACTCTATCACTCTATCTATCTATCTATCTATCTATCTATCACTCTATCTGTCTGTCTATCTATCTATCTATCTATCTATCTATCTATCTATCTCTCTATCTATCTATCTATCACTCTATCTATCTATCTATCACTCTATCTGTCTGTCTATCTATCTATCTATCTATCTATCTATCTATCTATCACTCTATCTATCTATCTATCACTCTATCTATCTATCTATCTATCTATCTATCTATCTATCTATTGATTGGTTGGATGTTTTTATGAATTCATTTCCATTTTATTAGATTTTCTTCACCTCCATTTTCCTCCCTCCTTCCATCTCTCTCTCTCTCTGTGTGTTGTAAATATATTGATCAGAACCTGATCAATAGTATCTGATCAGTAAATCAGCAGCTGATAGGTGTGTGTGTGTGTGTGTGTGTGTGTGTGTGTGCGCTGCCTGCCGCACTGCTGTCCATCCATCCCTCCGTCCATCCCCTCGTTTCTCTCTTCTATATTATTTCAGCTGTTCATCCATCCCTCTACAATCCTTCCATCCCCCATCATCCTCCTGTGTCTCCTCCATCCCTCCTTCCTTCATCCATTCCTCCATTTCTACTTCCTCCTGTTTCCTTTTCCACTTTCTCCCCTCATCCTTCAATCTCTTCTTCCAATCCTTCATTCCTCCATCTCAGAATTCAGCTTTCTCCATCCTTCCTTTCCCTTCTCTTTCCATCCCTCGTTTCAGTTTTGCTTTCACTTTCCTTTCATCCTTCTATCACTTCTTATTTCCACCTTTCCATCCCACATCCCTCTATCTTCCTGTCATTGCTACATCCTCCCTCCATCCTCCCTCCCTCCATCCTCCCTCCATCCTCCCTCCTCCCTCCTCCCTCCATCCCTCCATCCTCCCTCCAGGTTTAAACCTTCCCTCACTTTGTTTGCTGTCTGTGAGCAGCAGAAATATCTTCAGACAGACGTCAGTGAATAAATGAAGCCGTTTAAGTGTCGAGGTGAACCGGTCCGATCTGTGGAGGCCGTAAGCTTCCTCCCACCAGAAAGGTCTTATTTCCATATGCTCTGACCTTTGACCTTTGACCAGAGCTCTTTTAACGACCTCGTCATCCCGTCGTGTCGTCTTCTTCTGCTCTGACTGGAGAGTTCAACAGGATGCAGACGAGTTAAAATCAGTCAGAATTTGAACTGAGTTTGGTTGGAAACGTGACTCCACGTTCTCTCTTTCATTTGTCACTTCTTCCTTTCTCATTATCTTTCTTTTCACCTTTCTTTCTCTCTTCCAGCTGTCCTCCATCCACTTTTCACTCCTCGTCTTCTTTTCTTCCTGTCATCCCATCCCCCATCCCTTAATCCCTCGCTCCCTCCATCCGTCCACCTTCGCTCCTTTTCCCCACTTTACAACCCTCATCCCTCCATTACATCTTCCTCATCCCTTCTTCCTCAGGTTCTCTCTGTCTCTTTGAGCGTCATGCCTCCTCCGGTCAGCCTTCTTCCTTTTTATTTTTTTGCTCATTAACGAGTCTCTCCTCCTGTCGGCCATGTTGGACGATCACCGGACTGAAATCCGGCTCACGTAATGCTGCCGGTAACAGATGCTGCTGTATCATGCAGCAGCAGCAGCAGCTCGGTAGTAATAATTATATTTTTATGTAATCGTCCACATCACAGTGACGCTGGTTGCTCTCCTCCTCCTCCTCCTCCTCCGAGTGCACACGAGTGTGAGCGAGCGCTGTGAGTGGAGCAGTAGTAGCAGTAATGTTCCTTTGAGACCATCACAGACTTTAAAGGGTCATGAGACGGGAGCAGGTGAATGCAGCGTGGTTAGTTCAGGCCCGTCCGTAAATCTGAAAGTGTTCCTGCGTCTGACTGACCGACTTTGTAAAAACTCACATGTGCAGAAATATTCTGTGTTTAGTGATTCTGGGGATTGCATCATCGTTCTACCTGCTGAAGGAAATGCTTCATCACGTTAGCGCGCCGCCGCCCACAGCCATGTTTATGTTATATTTCTGGGTATTGTTTGGTTACAGATTGTTTTGCTGACATTGTTTGATGAATGAACGATGAATGAGCAGTTATCTCTTCTTTAATGCTCAGAATATTGAACAGGGTTTGGTTAGTGGGTGTGTTTGTGCTGAGGGACTCCTCGCTAATACTACCAATATTATTTTATTAAAAATACAAACTGATCTTTCTTCAAGTACTGTAAAGTATACTCGAGTATCTCCATGCTTTAGTTACTTTCAGATACAGATTATTAATAGAGAATATCATCAATAAAAGTGAAATGAAAAAGGGATTCACTGTCTGTATCATACATAATGATGATTGAGCCGTTTCTTAAAAGCTCTGAATATTGAACAGGGTTTGGTTGGTGTGTCTATCTGCTCTCTTCTTGTTGCTTTAATGTAATATTTTAGTTTTTGGAGAGGTTTAAACACGTTGGGGCGTTCGCCTGTCTCACAGTCGGTCAGCGTCTGCAGGTCGCTGAACACTCGCTGAGAAAGACATCCAGAAAAATACTTCAATGAATCAGAAAATCACGTTTTATTGAACTGGAAGTTTGCGTCCTGTGATTTGTTGGACGTGGTTCTTTTGTTAAGAAGAAGACATTTTTTAAATGAATTCAAAGACTCGTCCTTTCCGACGGAGAACTGAAGTCGTTATATCGCTCCCTTCAAAGCCACCAGACTCCATTGATAAAAACACTAATTTTACCTCTCAGAACACAGCAGTTTCTGCTCTGCCGCTGCCTCCATCAGTCAGTCTGTTTGTGTCCCTGAGTGACTTTAGTGTTCAACATGTTAATTCAGATCCAAACTAACGTTGGTTGCTGCACAACAAGGCAGCGGTGGGACCAGAACTTCTGAGTTCTGAGAGATAGAATTAGTGTTTTTCTTAAAGGGGTCTAGTAGATGGATATAACAGCTTCAGTTCCCTGTCAGAAAGTGCTGAAAATACTCTAAATAGAACGCACACTTATAGATTTTTAAAGATATGTTATGTTTTGCTGCTGCCCCGCCCACAGAAGCACTCGGACGCTGTTTTTTGTTGGTCAGGTTGAATAAGGAAAGAGGCCAGCAGTCAGAGTATCAGTTAGATTCAGTGTCTGCTGTAAATGTAGGACTGTTTACGCCCAGTGATCTGAAGCTGTGATATAAAGCAGCTGTGTGCAGAGTACATGCAGTGTGGCACAGATTGTGTCTAACAACTATTAATGTGTGGGTAAGAACGGCCGCACTGTAGAGTTCCTGCACGTTTTTAGAGACGCCGAGCTCATGTTTATATTTCTGGCTTATTGTATGATTGCATAATAATAATAAAAATAATAATAATAATAATAACATAATATATGATATTGTTTTGCTAAATATCTTAAAATGTGATGAAACAGGGATTCATTCCTGTCCTCCACCACCAGAAAGATACAGTCTCTATCATACAGAATGATGATTGAGCAGTTTTCTTAAATGCTCAGAAAATTGTCCAGAGTTTGGTTGGTGGGTGTGTTTGTGCTGAGGGAATTTATACTTCTACTCCGCTACATTACCTTTATTTCAGTGTAATGATTGTTGCATTGACTCCTTCTCTCTTAAATTCTGTATTGACTGTTGGCTTTGTGTTGGATTTACTCACAAAGCGATGCATCCTCTCGTTATCGGAGGGCTAACCTAAGGCACGTTTTTATTATTATTTATT